GAAATTGGTGATATGTTAACAGACTACCGGTCATCTCTAGATTAATATAACTGAGGTAGCTAAGGCTGAGAATGAGCAATGTTGAAAATAATAAATTACTGAATAATCGGTGTATTTTTATCATTTAATAGTCAACAAACATAAATTTGATATCATTAAAGTAACAAATGTGTGTAATAGGTAAATGCGATATTTTTCAAATTTTCCTTGTTGTTGAATTATCGATATATTCTTGTCATGCGCTTGCAGTTTTCGCAAAATCGAATGTTTTTCTATCGATGCCTATAGTCAAACGCTAGCTCCTTGGTTGCTGTGCAAATTTATGCGATTTCAAGTTAATTTAATAGTGTAATTTATTGCAATTTAAACGTATGGTGTGAGCATCGGTTAACTCGCTTTTTATAAAAAGAGAGAGTAAAGTCTGCTTAGGCAGAAATGGAAGTGGAAAACGGACGAACTAGTGAGATTTGCTCACCAAAGCCAGACGATGCCGGTATTGGCAACAAAATGGCGTCTTCGTCTGCAACGCCGATAAATAAAGAAAAGACAGTCGAGCACGAGTTGAAAATAATGGATGTCGAAGGCGCAGTTACAGCGGAAACTACACTTACTATTGAGCTGGACGATGACGATGTGGAAGTCGTCAATGACCCCTCAGGGTCCGAATTGCAGACGGCACTAATTGATATCGCGCATGAGAAGAAATCAACGGAGGATCCGCTGGAGGATGAGAAAGCGTCCACAAAGACAGAGCCCAGCAGTGACGTTGAAAGTACCGGCTCTTACAATGGACCCGATCCTATGGGCCTACTGGAACGAATTGATTCAAGCAAGGAGATGGACGATGACGATGAGGAAGAAAGCGCCGATGAGGCAAGCAGCAGTGGCTCGCGTCGCATTAGCCGCAGAGAGCGCTGGCAGATTTGGATGAAACGCTGGCCCTGGCTGCTGCACGAGGAGAGCGACGGCGACTACGCCTTCTGCCTCTACTGCAATGTGGTTATAAATGTGAATAAGAAGCTCAAATATGTACAACAGCACAATATGTCGCTTTACCACCAGGAGCGTGAGAACAACTATTTAGCCTTTAAGAACAGTGATGATTATTCGCGGTTTGGGTTAGTAGCTATTATTGGTAGATGCCTTCTCCATAATTCTCAATTTTTTACATTCCTCAAGCACTAGTGAACATGAGGTTAAGCATGAATTCGGCACCGATAACTATGTGGCCGCCATGAAGCAGAAGCGTGCTAACGAAGTGGAGAAGCTAAACAACTTCAATTGGATGCGCTGGTTAAATTGGCATCAGTGGCTCGAGCGAATCCAGCCGGAGGGCACCATTGGTCTGTGCAAGTACTGTAATGTGCGCATGAACGTTGAGTTTGTCTACTTGCGCAAGCGGCACGAGACCAGCAAGGGCCACTGTGAAGCACAGCGGTCATATCAGGAGAAGTCATCACGTAAACGCAAGCGCAGCGCAAGCCAAGATGCCAATTCAGTTGATACGGCGCCGGAGCCAAAAGCTCAAACTGAAGACTCTAACGTTATGACTATCGTTGGCGCCGGCTTAGAGTCCACGGATCCCAGTGACTGGTGTGAATTGTTGCCAGATACCAATCCGCAGCAATGCCGCTGCACGCTCTGCGACTGTCGCATGGCCATAACGAGCTTTATGCGTCACTTGAAGACAAAGGTGCACTGCGCCAATCTATTTGCACAAAAGGGGACTCAGTCGTGCGTAAAATAATTATTCTCGGCTTTAGTTTGTAGTTTAATAAATTCTTGCTTTTCGTCAGGTCTAAGCTGAATCGAGGCATTTGGGCACAGTATGCGGAACAGCATCCCTGGCTAGTGGCCGATCCCACTGATCCCAGCTTGGCTTTCTGTCATGTTTGCTCCAGGCGCTTCATATATGGACATTCTGAAATCAAACGCAAAACTCATGAAAATTCCGAGAAGCATATGGCTGCAGTGGCCGCCTCTGTTGCTGCTGCAACGGAAGAAGCAGGGAACAACGACGAGGCGGAACAAAGCGAACAGGAACAGTCGGAGGCGCAAAGCGAGGGTAGCGATGAAGATTATGTTGATGAGGATGACAAGCTCTCCACAACGCCCAGAAGCTCCGCCGAGTATGACTCTCCCTCTCTCTCTCTCTCTCTGTGGCAGTATCCGTAGTTATTGAATTTCTTTTATTTCTCAACGCAGACCCACAGAAGTGACTGCCGAGTCGCGCAAGACCAAGCACGTGGTGCGGCATTTTTGGTGGTTGCGTTACTCCAAGGATCGCAAAATTCAGCAGTGCAAATTTTGTCGCGTGCGTTTTAGCAGCGAGTGGGCCAAGGTTCGTCATGAGCAAAGCGCTCGCCACCAAAGGCTTATACATCAGTATAAGGTGCGACAGGCAGCACGCCGCAAAGAAGCGCGCAAAAAGCGTACGGAGGATGCAGAGGATGAAGCCGCTGAGGACGAGGAGGAAAACGACGAGGAGCAGAGCAACGCTGATTCAGCAGCAGTTGGTGAGGGCAATAACTCCGAAGCAACCAATCAACCCAAGGTGGCCAGCAAAGCGGCACACAAGCCCGTGCCTGCCACAATGCAAGGCAAGGTGATGGTCTGGAAGGATCGCTTTCCATGGCTCTCTTGGAAGCGGAGCGAACCGCGTCACAACTACGGCTGGTGTAAGCTGTGCGAGGTGTCTGTCTTCTTGCCCAGCTTCAAGTACGCCTCGAAGCATCAGCGAAGCTCGCGACATGTCCGGCTACGCTTTGAGCGTAAGAAAGCAGCACGTATGCCACCCACGGATGTTACGTCTGTGTCCACACCAACAATTGCAGCGTTGGCAACAGGGGAGGCGAAAAATAAAGCCGCAATGGCTGAATTGCAAGCTAAATACGATTGGTTGGAGCCGGATGCCGCAGATGAGAATCACTGCCATTGCAAAATGTGCGATACTCGGCTGCCCATCAAGCTGTTCTTTTTGCGCCAGCACGATGGATCACGCAAGCATCTCGAGCAGTTAGACCGAATTAGAAATAATAACGGAGTCACTTCACTGACAGACAACGTAGCGGAACCCGCCGCATCTGTAATGGATATGGACCAGGAGAGCGATGAGGCCCTAAGCGTCAAGTAAGTGAATGAATACAGCAACTGTACGCTATCGATTTATTTGAAGTCCGCTTCTTTCTAGATCAGAGTGCAGCACTGGGGAGCAGCCGCCGTCCAAGCGTATGCGTCGTTCGCTGGAGGTGCGTCGCATATTGCGCGTACTGCGCGACTCTGTGGGCAAGCGAAACGATGAGCGCAGCCAGCTGGATATGGCTAAGGACATGATATGCTCCTCTTTTGACATTGTTACGCGTCTCCGTTCACTAGAGCGTGAGAATGAATCACCAGTCACAGCAGCACGTAATCACGTAGAGGCAAACTCTTTTGCTGCACAGCCACGCGATACCATAGATCTGTTCTTCGAGAGCATTACACAGACTATGAAAACCCTGCCTGGGGATCTAGCAGCCGAGGGCAAGGCCAAAATTATGCAGATCGTTTGCGACTTGGAACTGCGCGGCATGCAGCGGAACGCTTCTTTGCCCACAATCGCCGAACCGGAAGCGGAGCCCAGAAGTGCGCCACAGTTATGTGAAACAACAGCGTCGTCAACTGCAGAGAATAGCTCAACCAGGCAAACTTCAGATCGCATGACATTTGAGGAGGTACTGGATGTGCCTCCCGCTTCGCCCGAGTCAGTATCCTCATCTATAACCATTGACGATTTGATGGACGATTCGCCGGCGAAGTCGAAACAGTCATTGTCTAACGACAACCATATAGCGGGCAATCTTTCCGAGTTGACCGTAACGCCCAAGCAGCGCCCTACTATTCGTACCAATCTGAGTCCACCTGCATCAACCGTAACTGTTTCGGCAGCACCGTCTGTTAATGGGCGCGTCAAGGAGGTACCACTGAACATACGCCGCTATCTGCCCTCCTCCGTGCAGGTTGGCACCTTCAAACCGGACGCCTCGGATGCCCTGCGCATTGTGCCCATTAACAAACTGACCACACCAAATGCAATTGCCAGCAATGTGCATTCATCGAGCTTGGTGCAGCGTGGCGGGCAGCAGTCGAATCATGGTTCGCCAAATGCAATTGTTATGCACACGCCGCCCAATTCAAACTCTAGCGTCCATTCGGACTTAAGCAATGGCACGTCCAGCGGCAGCGGTGGCTCCACGCCCATGTATCGTAAAATTCGAGTCAACAATGGCACCAGCACCAAGCTAATAACGTTCCAAAACTCTGGACAGCAGCAGCAACAGTCGCAACAGCATTATCACCAGCCGCAGCCGCACCAGGTCAGTCAACAGCAGAAACTGCCCATGCGCTACTCGAGCGGGGGTGGGAGCACAGTGCTTACACCGGTGCAGGTTCAAGCACAGGCGCAGCTGCGAGCTCTGAGTGCGAACCGAGCTGTGGTGCGTCATGTGCCCGCCAACAACAGAACGCCGCAACCATAAAGCTCAGTAGCCCGTTTCGTTAATATAAAAATAGGATAAGTTACGCCTTTCCCCCAACTGTTTTCCAACATAACAAAAAGCTGTCTAGAAATCAAATTTCGCTTTGCATGTGAATTACATATTCCGTTCAAGATTTGCATCACATATTTTAATAGTATATTTTGCCTGATTTCGCGAAAATTAAATGGATTCAAGTCAATAATCTTGTTCAAATAATGCCAGATAGTCTATAATTTAAAAATATTTTTTTTTTCTTTCGTGTTCTTCGGTACATTACGAAAATGATAATTTATAAAAACTCTAAATGGGCTCGTAAATGTCACACGAGCTGTTTGATTGATATGGTTTGCACTCTAGTTAAGTTTACTCTCAGTTTTGTCATGTTTAAATTAAAACTATCTTAATTAAGTTATATTTTAGACGTATAGCACTTACACAACATTTTGACATTATTCAGTTATACATTTATAAGTATTTCAGCACTTCAAGTATGCATCCGTTTATTTCCTGTATTGACTGCTGTAATTCATACAAATAAAATTGAATTATTAAGGTTAATCAAGGATTCACAAGTTGTTCACTTAGTTTTAACATATTCAGTCGTTGGCAGCCGGCGGTGCCAATGCATCATTGCGGCCGCTGTTGCGGCTCAGCCGCAGGCATTCCATTTTGCAGCACCATTGTTTCCGGCCTCTCGTCGCTGGTAATGGTCGACAATTCAATTTCTCGGCGATCCCCCAGGAGCCGTCGTGTCGAGTTGTGCATAAAGGCATTCTCAGGCATCTCATAACCACTGGCAGTGGGCGGCGGCGGCATCTGGCTGATTGCCGGCGTGCTGACGGCGCTGTTGCTCCTAGTAGTATTCAATTGTTTACGCTCATTGGCCTCCAGTGCCTCGTCAATTGGGGCGGTGCGCGCATGCAGAGGGAATACGAATTTGACATCGAGAAAACTGCAGAGCTCTTCAATGCCATCCAGAGTGCGATTGAGCTCCTCGTTGCCCTGCTTACCCATGTGCTGGCGCACTGTGTTTAAATAATTAAGCAGCTTGCTGCGCGCTATTTTGATGACAGTCTGTGCGTTCTTTAGCTCCAGGCGCATCAGCTCGGGACTCTGGAGTAGCAAACGTGGATCGCGTTCAAATAGTATTTAGTAAATCCATTAAACTTACGTCCGCTAGGTAACCATCCATGGCAACGTGATTGACATCTTGTAGCTTGGCCAATGCGGCGGAAAACTCAGCATTACGGGCCTTCATATAGGTGATGTGGCGATCAATGTGGCTGCCGCTGGCAACATTTGAACTTTCGGAGCTGGTACGCACACGCTGATTGGTCCCCGGTGACTCAGATGCGGGTGCACCGGCTGCGGGCAAATTGTTTGAAAAGGAAACACAAGAGAACGCATTCGCTGGGTAGTCGAATTGCTTGGGATTGAGCATATGCAAGGCATGTCGCAGCACCAGGTTGACGTCCACATGGCTGGGATAGCGCATGAGATATGTCATCGAAGTCGTGTAGTCACTCAACAGAACTGCAAGAAATCAAATGGATGAGCAGCCGCATTTTGAATCCAAGGCATTACGCACGCTTATCCCGTATATGCACCAGCATAGCCACCAGTATGTAGTTGGGCAGATCAAAGCGATCGCTATCCGCGAAGATGGCATCCCACAGCAGCAGCAGATCCAGCAGCATAAACTCGCGCCCAAAGAGCAGGCGCAGCCAGCGGCTGTTAATTGGAAAAGTTTGAGATTTTAGCATGGTTCAATGAAGGCCACTTACATGCCAAATATATGCAATGGTATTTCCATTTTGAGCAGATAATGATGTAAATGTTGATCCTGCTTGGCCAGTATTTTATCACGTATGAAATTCAGCTGACTGATAACCTCAACCTCTGATTGCGGCTCAGTGTCAGCGCCCGAGGACTGCAAAAACGACAATTAATACTTGAAATAAACAACAAGAAATTGAGTGCAATGGCTCACCTCGTCCAAAGTTTGCATCTCCATGTGGCCGTCGGGTGTGGGTACTATGCTTGTAACGCGGTAGTACGACTCCACCGAAGACATTAGGCGGGAGAAGATGGAGCTATAAAAATGAAAAAAATATGATTTCACCGACTAAAATTATTCCAAGTCCATAACTCACTAGGTGTCAGCCTCGAGAAATGCCGGTTCCAGCACATTCAACAATGTCTCATTTATGTTCGTCTTGGCAATCTCGCTGAAGTGCAACAGCGACTGATGATCGCTGTAGAGCACAAATATAATGGGCGCCAAGATCTCATGCATGCCCTGGCGATAGCACATATACGGATGTTCGCGTGCATAGTAGAAGAGTATGTTCGTCATGGCATTTTGTATCAGGGGCTTGCGAAAGAAGTCGACACCCGGAAAAGTGCGCACCACATCCTGGCGTATGACCGCGAATAGCTCCTGATCGCTAAAGTATTGATTCCAGATGCTCTGTGTGGACTGCGATAATGGATCATCGTCTTCGGGTCCCACTAGCTCGTGAGGATTACGTACATAGTCCAAACGAAATTTATCATATCTGCAAAAACACGATCTTATTAGTTTTGTTGTGCAATTAGCATGCACTTCTCGACTCACCGGCTGCGTTGCTGCCCACGCTGGCTGTGCCAGCTGCGATGATCTGCGTTTAATACTCGCAGCAGGAGCGCCCAATGGATGCTGCGAAACTTTGACATTTTCAGCTGCCCCTTAAAGGCAGCTAAACGCAAGCCTTCGGGGTTCTCATCCAAATCGGCCAGCAATTGTGTCCATTCCTGTCTATATCGCTCCACAGATGTCATGGCGTTACTTTTGTTAACAACAGGTTCTATTACGGCCCTACCCGTTTCCTCTCGTATGCTTGTTTTTATGGCTGCTGCTGTGTCTGCCTTTGACGTCGGCATGTACAATTTAATGGCTTCTATACCGCGCACGGTCATTGCTTTGTTGCTGGCTGTGCAAAAATTGTAACTAAGAGCATATTCCGCATGCCCGATCGCGCAAGAAACAATTTAATTTCAAAATACTATATAGCAATATGAGTGGTTTACAAAACAAAGCAGATTAAATTTGGCAACATTTGTGAGATAAGGGCGCAAGTGTGACCGAATGTGTATAACAATTTATTACATTTAAAAGGTATGGCAAGCTCCCAAGTGCTCCCCTAGTTTCGATAGTTTTTGGCATATCCATGTTATCGAAAGAATCGTTTTAAATTGTTGTTATATGCAAAACCGTTACAGCCAATATTGGTCATTTTAATCGGTATAATATTTTGACATCTGCTTTAAGGCGTTATGAAGCAATACTTTAATAGACATTCATGCCAAAAAAATGCATGTGCTATAACCAAAAATACCATCCACAATTTAATTTAAAGAACATTCTAAACATGTATTCTTTTTAGAGACTGTAAAAATATCGCCACAACGATAGTACGCTTCTCGTTTGTCCATTTGAACTTAAAACCGTTAAATCATAATTGGTTAATGCCAATGTGCTGAGCTTTTTCACTAAGACAACTAATAAAGAATAATTTTATAAATCGAAAAAAAATGTATATGGATGCGCAACGCTTACACACACACTCACATATTGAGGTCAATGCTTGTATCACCGCTTGATACACAGCAAATTATCGATTATAAATGCTCACCCGTCAACGAAACTGACAAACCAGGAAATACAGAAAATAACAATAAACAAAGTCGCGGCGGCGCAGCGGCATTAGCGGTATTAGCATAAGCAACAGTTTCGGCAAAAGTGCGACCCCATGCTAAAAAGAAATATTAAAAAAAAAGATTGCAAATAACCTGCTGACTTTAGTTTATCGCATCAAAACTCTTCTATTTATAATGTATTATGCTATGGCCATTGGCTGGAAGCTAAGTAAGACGGTCAATGCCGTTTTTTGATCTAGTCTTGAGTAATTTTTCTAACATGTTGTTGGGCCATTTTAAACTTGACCCAATGAATACGCCAGCTGCAGCTACAATAATTTACGCTGGGTGGCCGCCTGCTTAACGGTGCGTCTCCAGCGTAAATGTGCTTATGAATGAATGTTAAGTGTTGTCAACATGAGAACTATAACCACAACGTGCTCAGGGCCGGTTATTAAATAACACATAGCACAATTGCATTGAACCATGAAATGCAATTTGACTGCCTTAAATTCAAATCACACGCCAACAACTTGCTCGAGGTTTTTTCCTGGCTGTCTTTTAGTCTTTTTTTTTTTGATTTTGCATATGAAAAAAATATTAAGTGCTCACTTTGTCCATAGCGTGTCCAGTGCATTGTCAGCTGTGCTTGTACCGCAACCAAAACTTCGACATGCACACTTCCACGCACACGCACACACACAAGAAGAAGCATGCCAGCACACAGCAAGTATACGCCGCATTGGCTTCGATTTTGTTTTCTCGGTCAAAGTCAATGTCAATGCAAATGCGAATTGCGAAGACGCTGTGGCTGCCATGGAGACGCATTAATTAACTAATCTATTGGGTATCTCTTTTTTTTATTTGATTTTTTAGTATTTGCTGCTTATTGCTTTTGTTTTTGTTTTCGTTTTTTTTTTTTTGTTGATTTTCGTACAACGGTCTAATGCGAACACGTTTGTATATTGGCTGCTTATCAACGCCGTTTGCTTTTTGGCCTGAGAACTTGTTTTTCTTTGGGCCCTGTTACAGTTTGCTTTGGCTGCTTAGCATTTTGTATTTCCTGATGTTTAATCAACCAACAGCTGAGCCAGCAATCAAATGAATAGATGGGTTTTCGATTTTTAAATGCTTTTTCTTCTTTTTTTTTTTGTTGGGTTTTCGGCTTGGTTTCTTCTTTGGGGCTGCGGCCGCATGACGCAGCGAGGTGAACTTCGATTTTGCGCGACTTTGGCCTTTTTATATGACTTTGTATCCATTTACATATTTTCGTATGCCGAGTCCACTTCTTTAATATGTTATCTTATTTATTTTATAATTTTTGGATTCCTTACAGTTACATTTGCAGGTCGCTTGCTCGATACGCGGAAGACAAAGGGCGGAAGTAGCCAACAAGTCCGTGTCCAATGCCTCTGGCCTGTAATAATCGACTGGAATAAATAATAATTTTAGATAGATAGCAAAGCCTGCGGCGTTGCCTTATTTAAATAAATAATATATGCATATTCTATGTAAGATTCTGAATGTTAATTCTAAGTTCAAACCAATGTCAAGGTTCACATTAAAAGAAGAAAACTTGTTCTAGTCAAAAGAATCCCGCAATGCTGAGCAATAAATCAAATATGGAATATCATTAAACTGGCTATAAACCTAAATATTAGTGCCATACCAATGCTATGATGGACATACTCCAGATATTTTATCTATGGCCTTGTCCTCTGCATGTATTTGTATCTGTTAACTTTAGTAACTGGCCCAACTGGTTTAGTCCAGACACTTTAAGGGCCGCTGTCCATCGATCAAAATCAATACAATCCTTAGTATTTTTTTGTTCCACTGTGAACACAACTACACGAGCTGGTATGTATTTTTGTGTACACACACAGACATTCGTGCATATTTAACATAACAAGAAATAAAAAATTTAATAATAGAAATCCCGAATTAAAATCTAAGTGGCTTGGCTACCATAGGCCCAGGCTCTCAATATACATATTTAAAACACGAATCAGGTTCTGCGGATTGTCTGCGATCCGCTGTTGAATTCTAAACAGCATGCGGTTTTAGACCCTATATCCATATGCCAAACATGATCGAGTTGTTAATGAAAATAGTGAAGTTTTTTTTCGGCATGCTCTTAGCCAGCACCCAGCAACGGCTCCAAGACGGAGCGTATACGGAAACGATGCCAATAAAAACTGGGAAAGAATAATATCAGACGTAAAGTTTGATATGCCGCGAGTATTTGGGCACGTGATCAATTTGCTAATATGCCCGGGCAGCTACTCCATTTTTTGCCCATAGCATATCAATGATTTTTGCATTCATTTGAGTTTTATTTCTTTTTTTTAACAGGTTTCTCGCAAACCAAACTCGTTAAAGTTCTAGAGAAAATTGGAAAAAGTCAAACATTGAATCAGGTTTATATGAGAAAACGTGGTTGTACATTTTGGCACTTAAAATCGAGATAGTTATCATCCATTATGGTGTTTTGCATGTCAAGTAAGTGCATTATTATTTTGAATGTTCCTTAATTTAGTTTGAATAAAACTTGATTACAAAACGGATTGTTTATGTTGGACGAGCAGAAGAAAATGGTTTGCTGGAAGCCCCTAATTTCATAGATTGCATTTGTGTCTTTTGTTCAGCATCTTTGGGACTTGGGAATTTAGGAATATCTTCAAATACGAATTTTTACGTATTTTGACTTTATTTAAGTGCCGAATTCCTAGTTTTACAATTAATTAATATTTCTTTAGCATTAGATTTTTAGGGTTCTTCACATTTTGCTGCCCAGAATAAGCTTCAACTTGGTTCAAAGCATTATGTGAGAGACTGTACTCGATTTGGTACCTAAATAGAGTCACGCCTGGCTTTAATTTTACATAGCTTTGGGTACTTTTTATGACTCTCTGCATATATATATATATATATATATATATGTATGTATGTACGTTTTGTATATTTGTCTGTGTGCAGATATTTGTGCCTGTAAGAATCGTGTCTTAAATTGAGCTCTAATGGATTTTATTTGTTCAGCACTACCTTTTGGATCGTTAAACCGAATGAATGCCATGATTGTGTGCTGGATAAATTTAAAATAAAGAAACATGTTCTACAGCAAAAAGTTTTAATGCGACATCCAGCTTGTTCATACATTTGCTTTTATTTGTTGTAACCCTTTCGTGCGCTTTGTTTGTTTTTCTCAACAGATTTTCATGGCACATTTGATGCGTATTGTTGACTTGAACGTGTGACATTGCGTTCTTCCTGTGGCTGCGTCTCATTTCGCAATTTGCATAAGCATTTGACTTGAAGCGATCCAGCCTAAATTAGGTCTTCACGCACTTTAGACTTGGAAACGCAGCCTTTGCCTTGTCGTCTCATTGATCTGTGCATTTGCAATTTTAGTTTTAAAGTTTTTATGCACGTCCCGCGTGCCGCATTTCAATTAACTTGCCTTACAAATAGTTCAAGCAGCACATAACATTTTACATAATAAAATGGAGAAATCTGTAAGATTACTCGAGCGTGAGATACCCTATACCAAGCTGGGAGCAGGCATCAAGCCAAGGAAGTAACTCTTTAACTTGGACATGATATTCCCATTGCTAAGGGTCAGGTATTTCAAAAGTGAAAAAATGAAAGATTCCGGATTTGTGTACACCATCTGAGCATCTTTATACAAAATTTGATGGGTCTAGCTCTTACAGGTTGCCAGATATGCTCAAAAACGTAATCTCAAAATCGATATTTATCGATTTCATGGCAGTTGGCAGAGTTATCGACGATCGACGAGCCCTTGTGCGGCCTCCTACTGCAGCAAACTAATATAACCATTTTTTGCAACACGTACATGGTATTAACACAGAGTGAAATTGATGTGATGCCAAAGGTTAAACAGGCGCTGTTGATAATTGTGAGTTAACTAAATAACAGAGTTTCATAATTGTTTTGGATAATTGACTTGGTTCAAGAACTCGCAAATGTTCTTGGCTTCACCTTGGCTGCTTTGTTGCCTCAACACGATTCTTTGTGCATCTTATAGATGGGGTTTGTTTTTTATTTATTTATTTAATTTTATGTTTCTGTTGTGTTTTTTTTTGGTGTTTTAATGCTGCAAGTCATTAAGTGTTTTGGCAGCGACATGGCCATTAGCTGCTAACTGCTGGCAGCCTTTCAATTACTCTCAGGAAGGCTAAGACCTCTTCGAGGGGTTACAGTTTATGTTGATGTTGCTTGCATACACTAAATCTGTTGCACAGTGGCACAAAGCTGACATCGCAAACTGGTTAAATATTTGCAAAGCAACATTAATATTATTATTCAGTTTGATCTAATTTACTTTTTAGGCACGTCCTCAAAAATGCCCTGAAGCAAAATGCTCTTTTTTTTATAGATTGAGTTTCATTCAGTTAAAAAATACACAAAGAGCTGATATTTCATTCAGCAAGTGCATAAAACAAGTTGAATGCCCCATTTAATGAGCATTTAGTCAATATTTGTGTTACGCACCCGTGAGCACGTGCCGCAAATTAATGTTTTGATAATGTTGATTACACTATTAAATTGGCACATGCGTGAACTTGTAAATGCCGCCCAACTCGGGAGACAAACCGGTTGAACACAGCCGGCGGCTAGTTAAGTTAGTTGCCAGTTGGAAGTAGAGTGTAGTGTAGATGTATAAACGGCTTGGCTTGGCTGTTGCGAGAGTATGCTCAAGCACACTGTGTGCAACATTAGGCTGCCACTTGGCGACCTTCAGCTATTGCAGCAGCTTGCAATAGGACAGCGCAACGTGCGGGCCTTTTGACACCTAGAGATAGCCGGGCCCCGTCTGTCCGGATAGTAAACAATTTTAGTGGCCGACACTAAACAAAATTAGACACAACTCATTTCAACAATAAACATCTGACCGAAAACTGTAAACAGTTTTTTTTTTATTTCATATGTTTTTTTGTACTGCCGCGCCACAAGAAATAAGTACAAATAATTATTGGCCCAAAGCCTGTTCAGATTGTTTTGCCACAGTTGGAGGCCTCTGCTTGAGTCTTCGCGGACTTTTGTCACTTTGTGAGTGGCCAAATATTGACGCGGATTAAACAGTAATTAAGTTTGGTCATGAAATGCTTATTTTAGAACTGTAACTAGACCAAAAACCGCCAGCAAACTGTGAAGATTAAAGCAAAAAACGGGTCGACAGCTCAACAACTTGTGCTCTTCAGTCGTATTTGGACGGCAGAAACTATGTGGAAACGTCTCGAAAAAGCTGCGCGAAGACGACTTCAGTTTTAAAATTTTGTGTTAAAATAATTTTTTTTCTTTTTTTTGCAAACTGTATTTTTTGTATATCCATATTATCGATATTTGTGCTAAGAAATATATGTATTCATGTTCATGAATATGAATTCTAACTTCTTAAAAAAAACTAGATTAACCGTTTTATTTTGTATTACTTTTTCGATACTTATAGTAACATTTAAATATTTTATTAAACATTCTCTATTGAGTAGCTTAAATAACTAAGTCCTTGAGGCTACAGAGAAAAGGGGATCTGGAATGGATGAAATATGATTTAGCCAATGGCCAAAGTTCCCGAATAGTGTCAGATTGTTTGTATTTAAATAAAAATGAAAAATTACAATAACAATAAATATAAATAATAATATAACCATCGAGTAAATTTGTCCGCTCAAGAGGAGTCCTCGCCTTCTTGAGAAGGAATGGGTGTGGTCAGATTTATGATTTAAGAAAAAATTAGATAATAATCATAAGATAGAAATTAATTAAATTATAAATACAATAATGTAAATTAATTAACTTAATTTTGGAGACCTTTCCGTTTTAAATATTTTATTTGGGGGCTCGAGGTCCAGTCTTAATTTATTAAAATAAAAAGTTGAATATTTCTCCGATATACTTTGGCTGCATCTCGGCAACCGTCTTTAGTGCACTAACAACAAATAATAATAATAAAAAAACATTTAAAATATTAATAAATGAATTAATAATAAAAAAACAATAAAAATAAGAATCAGGCCAAAATTGAATGAAAATTAGATTAAAATAATAAATGATAAAAACTTACAGTAATATAAATAAAATAAAACTAAGTATTAAGCCAACTTAAGATAACAAAGTTAAGCAGGAAAACAAAAAATATAATAAAATAACAATAATAAATCAATAATAATAATGATAACCAAGCTAAAATTAGATAGCAATAATAACAATAAAACAATAAAAAATAAAATATACAAATAATATTAATAATCCGAACAATAATACATTAAAAATTAATATTGATAGTAATAATACATACTATAATACTTTTAAAAATAAGTATTATTAAAATCACAATAATAATATAAAAATAATAATTAAGTCAAAATAAGTCCACAATTGTGAAATAATAATATAAATAGTAATAATAACTAAGCAAAAATGAGATAACAACAAAAATAGAAATAATTAATAAAAAATAATAATAATACTTAGATAATAATAACAATATTAAAATAAAATATAAAAAATAATTAATAAATCGATGTTACATACAATTCTCTAGTAATTTATACAAAGATCAGAGTTCTATTAAAATTATATTGCATACTTAAAGAAAACCTGCAGCACATTATATGTGTGTATATTCAAGGCATAAAACATATTGAAAATTAAACATAGTCTTTAAAATTAGAATAGGTTGTTTGAGTCCAACACGCGCCCGCTTTCATGAGAGACGGCAATCGCATAGATGCGCAAATACATGTGTGCCACATAAAATTGAAGTAAATCAAGAATTTGAAGCGTCAAATGCTGCTATTAGCTAGTTGGTATGCATATGCATAAAAAGTAAATGAAATACGGCAAATGACAGCTAAAACAAGTTAAGCAGCCAACGCGCTCAACTTGACCGATAGGTGGATAGTGCATGACCTGCAGCTAAAACTGAAACCGAAACCGAAATTGCCGACCCTGTTGAGTAAGCCAAAGTCGCAGCGAGCAGATAAGAAGAGTCCACAAAAAAAAAACGAAAAAAAATATGTTGTTGGGCAACTCTGACGTGAGAGTCCGGGCCTGAAGAGGCCTACGTGAGTTCGGCCAAATAGACGAGACGTCGAGTGCATGGCTAAATGCTAATTTCATGACGGTTCACGGCTTCTGGCCCGCTCCACCCGCAACAACAACTGTTTTTCACGAAAACTCAATTGCGGTTACATACCATTTACTTAGCCGCTTTTATCTAAATCGGTTTACTTAATATTTTGCCCAAAATCAGCCTCAGCCACGCGTCGGGCATTAAGCCAAAATGAAAAAAAAAAACAAAAACAAAAATAAAAATAAAAATGAAAAAAAAATCACATAAGCGAGCCAACGCAACCGCTGCCCCGATCCCAGAGACAACGTTCGTCACAGCCCAAGAATTGCCAACGAGCCGTAGACAGAGCCGAGCCGAGCGGATGGCCGATTGTTCATAAAAATCGGCTTTAAAATTCGGTGTTGTTAACTATTTGAGGCACTGTTGTTCGTCAGCATCGGAGCACCAAAGCCGAACTCTCAGCTCTTCGACTTCGCTGTGGTAGATCGGGTGTGTGCGAATATATATACAAATATATATATATAAATCAATTTTGAACTAGCCTAGCTTAAAAACGCTCTGCGAGTCGTGCCGTACTATCATACGCCGTGCATTCTTTGCGGATCGTGGATGTGCCGTGTGTGTAGCCATATAAACAAATATCGAACATCCTTATAGGGATGCTTAACGAACTATTGAGTGCGTAGCTCGTAACTCATAATTGGTGTTTGGTGATAATTGAAAAGCAAATAATCTTTAAGCGAAGGAGCTCTTCAACACGAACGGAATTTACCTGTGCATCAAATATATATAAACATATATATTAACATATACATACATATCTCTAATCGAGTACAACAAAGGTGAGTGTATGCACAATGCAGAAATATTAGAACAATTCTAATGCAACAAAAGGATTTTACATATCGAAACCAAACAAAAAATGAAAATTTGTTTCTTTTTTTTTAATTTATTCGAGTTGAGTTTTATAAACATATAAAATTAGCTGAAATGTTTGCTCTTTAAACAATATTTAAGCAGCAGAACAAAAGGTTAAACGGAAATATTAAATTTATGCATAAATTTAAGCATAAGCATTTATTTCCTTATAATTGGCTGCGCTTCTTAAAATATTTGCGGAAGTAACAATAAAACAAAATAGAAGAAGAAGAATCATAAAACGCGTCAAGAAGCTATCAAAGAAGTTTCACAATCAGTCGCAACACAAAAAAACGTAAAACAAAAACTTAATTTCAATAAACAAATTCGAATCAAGCGAATCGATTTCGAGCAACAAATTGTTTTGTGAATCATCCACAAATAGGAAATCGCCGAGCAAAGATGACAACTATGGAGCGCGGATTACGCGTTAAGAAAGAGAATCAAATAATTAATAAATTAATAAGTGAGCAATCACGTAGCATTAATAACAAAAATTATGCTAGCCTTAAAAAAGCGTAGCTAAAGTCCGAATGGAATTCTATAAATTATGCAGATGAGCACCTATTTTTCATATCAAACGCACGATATATAAAGGGGTCAGCGGGGGGGACAACGGGTCGTATACGCAATGAGCAATTGCGCGATTGTTCTGGGGCGGCCCCTTTTAAAATATTTCATTTTTGAAATTCAATTTCTTTTGCGCACGCCGTATTTATGAATGCGACACAAGCCCAGCGTATGGCATATAGTATCGGTCCGTGTATAATGAATATTGATGCCACGCATAATGCGATCTGGGCATAGCTATAAAGACATTAGAGCTGACCATGCATATAGAACAGTGGCCGGCTAAAGTCACGTTCCACTCCCCAACTGTGACTGGTCACAGTCGCCGATTGCTATGCCAAAGGTGTCGTAAGTTGCGTCCGCTAAGCAAATCGATCAATGGACGTATGCACACAGTCATATCGAAAGATATAGATACAGCTACAGATACAGATACAGCTACAGCTACAGCTACAGATACAGATACATTCAGCACATTGAGCGTGGCTCTAAGATTTATTATTATTATTGCCATTGTGGCTGCAACGTGATTTTTGGTTGCTGTGCAAATGCAAAAGTAGCCAAATACCTATTAATACGATCCATTGATTTATAAACCTCAACCCAGAAAAAAAGAAAAGCAAAATACGAGCCGCAACTCAAGCGCAAACCTCAGGTTTGTGGCCAAACTTGTTGTCACAAGCTAGAACCTTGATCCCAAAGCATGTATCAAATATATTTATATATATATATATATAATATTATATTTATGCATACAGTCAGATATATGTATATAAACCAAACAAAAGCAGTTTTTTGAATAGGTAATCTGTTCTTGGTTATTTAACTATGCTAATAATTCCGGTAAGGATGGCTGCTTGCGATGTGCCTCATCTCAGATTGAAACAAGGTTGGCCAACTTCTTAACATATTATTGGCATTGATATTGCCCGAAACTTGTTTCGTTCGCATATAAATATATTGATAATATGCCGCACAGCGCATGTCAGTCAATGGCAAGCTGCGTTCTCTTCTAGAACCCACTCTTCGAGGTAGGCATTCAAATTCAGACTTTGTCTGGCCGATGCACTCGCTGACCCTGCTGCATGATATTGTTAATTTAATTAATTAATTCGCATTGGCTGCGAAGTTGCAAATGGCACAGGCCAAAGTTGCAGGTGACTGCTTACCTTGGGTCTTGTACAAAAAAAAAAAATATATATATATATATAAGTATAAATATATATATGGTATATCTGTAGCCAAGAAAATTGTAATCATTGCGTATGCATAATTGCGTATGTAATTTTTCGTAAATGTAAAACCGAAACGCTTCTGTTTTTCAATGTCAAGGGTTTTTTGGTATTTGTTTTTTATTTTGGCGAAATATTCAATTGTTGGCTTTTGCGCACCTGTAATTCAATTTGCGATTAAGTGGCTGCGGCTTTAACTTGACATTGGAGCCGTGTCGAGTTATTGACTTGAAAACTGGGCACGAGTTTCAGTTGAGAAAAAACAAAAAAACAAAATCAAATAAGAACAATTTTTCGCGTTTCAAATGTGGCTATAAACAGCATGCATATGCTATGAGGTCAACCGGTTGTCGATTCTAAAGAAGCTGCCAACTGTCTGCCAATGCCAGATGCCTCCCCTCTAACTCTCCTCTAGCTCCCCTGGCCAACCAGCCAGCCAGCCAGCCAGCCAGGCAACAAGCCAGTCAAGCGTTTAAGCCCAAAATCACACAAGCACTTGAGAACAAGTCGGGTAGCTGGCTGCAGCTGGCCATGTTGCATGCTGCGCGCGGCACACATTGCAACTGCAATTATCAATTCAATTTTAACAACAAATTCTCACACGGCCAATGTCAGCGAGTCTTGAATATTTAAGTGGCCAAGTGCTTTGGGCCAAGTGCCTCAGATGCAGCCAAGCCAAGCAAATGCAACATGCCGTGCAGCACAAAAGACGTCACAATCTCGGTGCCTGCTTTTTGCTGTTGTTGCGAAGATAGCTCGAGTGTGGTGCGAAGGTGTCAGGTATCGAATCGAACACCACGTGGCGTATGCGCAATGTCTAATTAAAGCTGAACTTTGCATTGTTTTGCCTAATAACAAATGTGCCTCACGGCCGAGTACTAATTAAAAACGAATTCATTACAATAACGAATTCTAATGGAATTTGTAGCTAGCACTTAGTTTAGTTAGCTTACCTACCCCAAGGTAATTTACATTTAAATTGTACGCATTTCGTTTATGTAGATGATATGCATATTAATATGAGTTTATGAAAGATGGTTTTTTGCTATAGAAACTAATTCAATTCGAAATGGATTATTGATTGCTCGTTGAAGCCAACAGAATTGTGCTTAAATGTTGCTGTTTTATTTTTTTTATTTTATTCATTTCTTATGCGTTGCTCTTTGTTTTCAATTTGTGTCGATTTGCTTCCGGTTCGCTTTTTGGCTTGACTTTGTATCGGTTTTTTGAGTAGCAGCTCAAGTAGCTCAACTACCGAAGGTCGTTGGTAATGAGGCAGCTGAGTTAAGCTGGTCCATAATTAGCCGAGCGGCTCTAAGGCGGGTGGCAGGTTGTAGGCATGGTGGGGGGTGGGCCTGTGGGTTGCCATTTATGAAGAAAGCCAAGAAACATGCTCCGCATAGCAAATGAGGCTGCTTTGCATCTGAAAGCTGCACACACACACATACACACACGCGAATACATAATAGAGCTGTCAACAACTGGCTCTGACAGGCCATTAATAAGGAAGCAAACTATGTAGATGATTCATTTCTATTCCGTAAACATACAGACCACCATAAATACTGAGCTGTTCGCTGTTTGATCTTTTGCAGATGGCACCGAACATAATAGGCAGCACCTTCATTTTGGCCGAGACGGCCATTGCCGACACCAACAACAACAAGATGTCAACAACAACAACAACAACGACCGCAGCTGCACCTGTAAAGGCAGCGCCCGCCAAGCTGGCAAGCCCTGTGCCAGCTGCCACTCCCCAAACGGATGCAAAGCAGGCAGCAGCGGCAAAGCCCTTCAAGGCCCAAATTGTGTATCACAACATAGTGCTCTTCATAATCTTGCACTCGATGGCACTGTATGGACTCTATTTGATACCAGCCGAGGGCGCTTACCTCGAGATACTGCCCAGTGAGTGGCCGCTGAGCCTGTTAGCCGGTCATGCAGGTCAACTAGACCACTAATTGGTTGTTCTGTCTATTCCAGTTTATCTGTTCACGTTCTTGGGCGGCTTGGGCATAACCGCCGGCGTGCATCGGTTGTGGTCGCACAAGGCCTACAAGGCGAAGATGCCACTGCGAATCTTTCTGATGCTGTGCCAGTCGTTGGCCTTCCAGAACAGCATCTGGGAATGGACGCGGGATCATCGCGTGCATCACAAGTTCACCGATACAAATGCCGATCCACACAATTCGCGACGCGGCTTCTTCTTTGCCCACATGGGCTGGCTGATGTGCAAGAAGCATCCCGATGTTGGCAGCAAGGGCAAACAGATTGATATGAGCGACATTGAGGCCGATCCCGTTGTGATGTTCCAGAAGAAGTGAGCTCCAGCTGCCGGCTAAGTTTGAATGTGCAGGATTCTAACTTTCTCTCTCTCTCTCTCTCTCTCTCTCTCTCTCTCTCTCTCTCTCTTGTTTCCTTCTATCACACCCAACTATTAGATACTATTTTGTTGTGATGCCAATTTGCTGTTTTGTTCTGCCCATGCTGTTGCCATACTATCTGATGGGCTCCTCGTTGAAGGTGTGCTTCTTCAGCTGCTCCATGCTGCGCTATTGCCTGTCTCTGCACGGCACCTGGCTGGTGAACAGTGCGGCCCATTTCTACGGCATGAAGCCGTACGATGTGAACATTAGCTCCGTCAACTCCAGACTGGTCTCAAACATCACCTTCGGCGAGGGCTGGCATAACTATCATCATGTCTTCCCCTGGGACTACAAAGCAGCTGAGCTGGGCACCTACAACGGCAACTGGACCACGGCCTTTATCGATCTGATGGCCAAGATAGGTAAGTAATTGGCCAAGCCGTATTAAGCCTAGCGATCTTATGCCACAATATTCTCTCAATATAGGCCAAGCCTATGATCTGAAGTTCGTCTCCAAGGAAATGGTCTATAAGAGGGTCATGCGCACCGGCGATGGCACCCACATTGCCGCCATGCTGGATGCCAATAATAATAACAGCAGCGAAGTGCCCACAAATGAGCTGGTGATGCATTTGGATCATGATCTGGAGGAGAATGTCATCTGGGGCTGGGATGATAAAGACATCAGCGAGGAGGATCGCAAAGGCGCCTCAATTGTGAACAGTGTCCTAGAGAGTAAACAGGATTAGAATAAAAAAATGTTAATGATTGCGTCTCTGATGCGTTAAATGCCCCTAACAAATTGATAATTATGCGTGCCTCTCAATGGTTTTGAAAATTGGGACTTTTAACATTTCACAATAATATTCATATAATTGTCCATGCCCCAAACATGGTGTTGGTTACAAGCTTACAACAAATTTCACCAGAGAGTCCGCTTCAAGTCGAACTGTTTATGCGGCTCAGCAGCGCATCGGGCGCAATGAAAGAAATGGCTTCAATTCCAAAAAAAAACAAAAACAAAACAACAAACAAACCGGAACATATTCGAGATAAGTCCAAATTTGTAAAAAAACAAAAAACAACTAACAAAAGCAGCTCTTTTTTAACGGTTTTTTTTACCACTTTATTACATACAAATATTGTTCTATGATGAGCACTTGACCCTATAAATATTGTAACATATATGTTTTAATGACGCAAGAGGTTCTAGAGTTAACTGTACTTAATAAGGTTTACCTATTAAGTCTCGTAATTCTCGATTGGAGAGTGTAAATTGTTTTTAGTTATTAGGTGTGTAGGATATTAAGCATTAAGACTATTGTATATTTAATCACAACAATTGTAGAAGAACAAAATTCGAAAAACAAATCGCTAAAATTCCAAAAAAAGAAAAAATATCAAAAAAAAAAAATATATATAACGCTGTCTTTCGTGTTACACTTAGTCACGGGATTTAGGCACAGTCTGGCAATGAAATAAAACGGTTTTCTTTTTGCACATTTACAGGAAACTCTAAGAATATTTTCTTCAAAGAGCCCTGTACTAGGTGGTCAAATGGTAAAGATCCCTAAGATCCCCTTATGTGAATCCCAGAACAGCATGAAGAGTAGAGTCACATCTGTTTCAAAATCGATAGCTCCTTAGATAACCTCCTCGTTTGTCGAGAATCGATAATCGATTTGTGAGCATATCCATCTATCTATTAAAAAAGCTGTAGACATCCAGATTGGTCTCTAACTTACAGTAGAAGTATACACAGATAAAAGATATTTTATTTTATGGAAGTCTTCATACTTAAATTAAAAATTTGAAAATACTTATATTTTAATTACATCTGTTTGTGCCATCAATTAAATAATTAAGGAATCATACATGTAGAAAATATTCAAGATTGAGATTTTACCAAGGCAAAGCAGCTGCAGAAAACAGCTGAGCTTTAAAAAATGAAGGGTATCTGCTGGTCGTGCACTCTGCTGCTTATGTATTACAGTTAGAATCGCATTAGGCAGGCATTATAATTATTATTAATAATTTTTTTTTTTTCAGGTTTTGCTTGAACCTTGTTCGTGGTTTCTTTTTGGTTGATTGGGAAGTACCAATAGCTTAAGTGTCATTGTTGTTGTTTTTGTTGTCATTGTTGTAGTTATTGCTAATGTTGTTGTTGTTGCTGTTGTTTATAAAACTAGTTGTCTTTGTGTTGTTGCTTTAGACGCGCGTGCACCCATACATTTTTAATGAGCTGCGCAAAAAAAAAAAACTAAAACTCGCATATTTATCATTTAAAGGTCTTATTGAGTTTTAGAAAATGTATTTTTAGAACTGACGCAAAAATATTCAACTGTGTGTTGGACTTAACATAAATAAATAATTAAACAAAAACCTAAATTTTATAATTTAATTAACATTCTAGCCATAAATTTGTATTTAACAATTTTTTAAAGTTTGCGCAAGCTGTTAAAACAATTCCGTTTTGAATATTATTTTTTGATTGAGCCACTCTTACTAACCTGTATATAAAATTTGTTCCGCCTTTGCTTTGATTAAAAACAATTTGTCTTTGCCGTGCTTGGGTATACTCCTTATATGGATTTTAGTATATAGGTTAGATTTATAACAATTTTAATTATCACAATATTTTCTTATATAATCTCAACTCTAGATGTTAGCGGAATTTGCGCTAGGATGATAGTAGTAGAACATGAGTTTTATATGTAATTTGATTATTATTAACTATTAATGTTGCTTCCCAACCAAAGAATTTAGCTGTTTATAATTAAAATTAAATTATGTGCGGCTCCTTTTGAACCTATTTCTATCTATTTTAAACGTACATACCTTTCAAAACATATTATTATTCATTTTTTAAAGAAAGCTACTAAATTAGTAAGTCGGCTAGTTGTATGCTATAGAGGTCCGATCGAAATTATAATTGTTAAGATAATTGAGACAATTGAAATTCACGTTTAAGCCAAATTAATTATTGATTAATTGTCAATTTGTAGATTGTATGCCAAAAACATGGACCCTTTGCCCATCCATATTTGGCCTTAAAACTGGGTTCATTTCCTTTTTTTAATTAAATTAAATTTTTTTCCTCTTCCTAATATAATAATACTATAATAAATGTTACCTTAAATAACGTTAAGGCTTTTAAAAATTAAAAAAAATAATCAAAACTATTTTCAATATCCAAACTTTTTTGAATGTCCAAACATTATAAGCACTTAAGTAAATTATAGAAAAATAATGTTCGCTTCGCACAGCATTTATTTATTTTTCTTTTTCGCGATTCGAGTTTCAGGGTCAAGAAAATTGAAATTCTTGACTCGAACCGGCTTGGTTCGCCAAAAAAACGATGCAGCTAAGTTAACTAAAGTCATAGGACAAGAGACAGCCTTTATTGGAAGAGCATTGGAATCATACAACACATAAAACTAAATTACATTTTTGGATCAGTGAAAGCCATCGGTATAGCCATAGCTGATGTGCTGCGGCTGGTTGCTCGCGCTGGAGGCAGAGGCCGAGGCGTAGGCATAGAGCATGGCGGCCAAAAAGGCGCCGTTGTTCATGAAGAGCGATAGGATTGTGGCCATTTTGAGTGTGGGCAGGACAAACGGCAACAGGCTGGCCAGGAGTATGGCGGGCAGCACCAGTATGGGCACAGCCACCTGCAACATTGTTGTCTTATAGGATTGCTTCTTCTTGCGCTTATTGAGCAGTCCACCACCGCCGCCGCCCTCGCCCGCATGAATGCCGGCACCCAAGCCGCCCTGCTGCTTGGAGTCACCCTCCGGCTCTGGCTCGTATGCCTCCACGCTGGCGCTGGTGCCGCCAACGCCGCCGGCCATGGAAGGCAGATTCATAAGATTCAGCTGCAGCTCCTCGGTGTCGCGTCGGCGTGCGCGACCCAATCGGGATTTGATGGCTAGAAGACACAGACATTGTCAGCGGCAGAAACTCTCTTAGGGCTGAAACTCACCCTTCTTTAGGCTAAATTTGAGCTTGTTCTCTTTGCTAGGCACAATCTTGACCAGCATGCCGGGCAGAAAGTGCAGCTTGATGTCGCGATTCTTGAAGAAGCGCTGAAAGTTCTGCACCAGACGCTGGTTCAACTCCTTCTCCGACATTTCCTGATACTTTTGCGTTATCAGGCTGCCCAGCTGCGTTTCCTGGCCAAAGAACTGATCCATAAAATCTCTGGTCATATTGCCCGTCTGTGGCAGCTGTTTGCGCTCCTCAAGTTTCTGCAGCACAAACAACTTGGTGCAGCGCAACATGCTGCTCTCATGCAGACACTCGTAGATGCGCATCGGTATGGAAGAGCCATAGTTTCGTGTCACGCAATTTGAATTTGTGGCATCACAGGTTTTAAACGCGCGCTGCAAAGTATTTAACATTAAAATTAAGCGGTGCGCTAGTGTGTGTGTGTGTAGCATAAGTTAGCATAAGTAACAAAAAAGTTAACAAAATCATAAAACGTGGTTGCAAGTCGATTCCAGAGATCAGTTCGAGTTCAAAAAGGTATAACTTTCCAAAATCTGACCATTTTTAGCCGGAAAAAAACGAAAAATATTCAAAATTATAACGGCATTTTTTCGCGTTTTTTAAATCGCTGTATCTCGGCCAAATAAGCCCCGATCTTGGAAAGATTGGTCTCGTTCGACTCATGGTCACAGCCATTTTCAGTCAACATCGTAATTTTTGCAAAAAACATAGTAGTTTTTCTCAAATTGGGCCATTTCTTAGAATTCAGATTTTTTGGTGTCAATCGATAGTCGGGATCCGTACGAGAAGAAAGAGGTATATCATTTCGAAATCGGACATATGGTACCCGGGATATTTCAATTTTAATTTTAATTTCAAAAACGTATTATGTAGACAGCACGAAAGTATGCAGTACTACTAAAATTCTGCTAAAACCCGCTACAAACGGCTATAAATAGCTATAAATGGCTATAAAGCTCCTGCAAAAGGCTGTTAAGTTTAGATGCACTTAACGCGCTTTTATTGCAGCGAAAAGAAAATTTCAGGCAGCTATCTTATTGATGCAGCTAAGCAAATTATACTGTATATGTGTTCTGTCAGGCTCGTAGCTGCAAAAATGTTCATATTTGAAAAACAATAAGGTTTTCATACAAAAGAAAACTTATCAATAGTACATATATCGATTCTGATAAAAAGCTGCCTATATATTAAACACAAGTTGCAGATTGTAATTTCGGAGTTTAATTTAGTTAAACAGAAAAAGAACAAAATCCTCAAAAACACAACTGATTAAGTACTTTATGGGCTGTTATTATGTACTAAATGAAATTATTATGAGACACAATAAACAAAGCAACTCTCGGCAAGATTAGATATAAGCGGGAAAGTAAGAATATCTTCGGCACGCCGAAAATGTAATAAGCTTGTAGACAGTTTGGCTTACGGTGTTGCAAATCACTGGGATCATGGAAAACAGAATATTTTGCATACAAAACGATTTTTACTATAGAGCCATATAACATTGTAGTGCGATCTTGATAAGACTCGGCGCAAGTCCTATGGCAGCTATATGAAATAGTGGTCTGATCCGGTCGGTTCCGACACATGTAATGCCGGCAACAGAAAGACGGGCCTATGTAAAGTTTTAAGAGACTAGTTCTCATAGACAGGGACAGACGGACGCATGGACAGACGGACATTGTTATATCAACTTGGCTGTTATTGCTGATCTATCTGAATATATCAACTTTTGGGGTCAGAGATGTCTCCTTCTATGCGTTACACATTTCTAAAAGGGTATAAAATAACCTAAATGCATAAACAAAAGACATGCAAGAGCGCCTCCATAGGCAGTAATTTTATGCCAATTTCTATGAATACCATGTAAGTTAACTGCGCCATCTATGATCTATGATAAATAGAATTCAGTGCAACTTAAAAAAGTCGAGGTTACTATGAAATCGATTCACTTTTAGGAAAAAAAATAAATTAAGTTAACTGCCGTTTTAGGATAGCTGCCTCTAATGCCTGTGCAAAGTACTCGAGGCAGCTAAGCAAATTATACTGTATATATATATTCTATAGCTGCTATAGTTTATACTTGCTGAACTTTAGTTTTCTTGTTTAAAAGGTCAGCTTTCTTTTTATTTATACTCTAATCGAATGTAGTAATTAAGAGCCTAATCTTGATTCTAAGAAATCTATATGATCTTCACAATATATATACCACTATATCATTTTGTTTCTATAACAACAATCGGTCGTAAATTTTGTTGGACCTGAACACCACTATATAAATAATTATCATGTCGGCTATCTGCTTGTCAGGGTATTCTTTGACCACCCGAACTGTCCCTTTTAGTTAGACAATTATTTTTAGTAATTTATTATTTATATGTCTGTTAAATTATTTTTTACCCAGTCTATAGCCTGCACGAGACCAACTCCCAGCAGGATATGCACAGCAGTTAATGTAGCGCGCATTTTAAGATATTTTTCGTTTTAAGCCAACTTTTAATCTCGATCTGGGCACAACTGCACGAGAGCAGCAACAGCTTTGAACTGAATGCAGCGCCCAGATCGGAGTCGCCACCAATCCTGTCCAGCTCTCTTGATCAGCTGCCGCTTTCGTCTGGCCAACTGGTTTGCTCGAGCTCAGCGCTCAGATTTAGTTTAGCGGGTCAAATCGGCTGCTGCCGCTGGCTTTTTGCTTTGGCATTGACTTTGGCATCGGCATCGGCATCGGCTTGTTGGCCCATTTGGCTGACTTATTTATGGCCGCCCCAATTGTTGGTCGCACAAATTTCAATGTCATGAGCCGAAAAATCAACTAGATTATCACACAATTTAATGATTGTTATTTAAAGCATGTTTCGATTTTGTGGCACACTCTTGGCGCAGCCTTATCTTATCAGCCAACTATGTTAGCCACTTAGCTAAAGGCAGCCACGAGCGTATATCAATCAGTCAGGAGGGGAGTTGCTAGCGTTTAGAAATTTGAAATTGTCGCAAAGTGGAACAAATTGTAGCCGGACTTAAACTGGTTGACAATTGGCTCGTTCAGATTGGCAGCGCCTTAATTAAGTGACTGCCAATCAAGTGAGAGTTCATTAATTAGACGGTGTCCATAATGAGATCTAAGTACTAGAGAAATTCAATAATTATTTTTGTATCGATTTTCTGCTATCTGCGACCCATTTTTAGCTGCATTTGAGACAAGTGGGGGGACGGGGAGTACTTTCTATACGCACGTTTCCAAAACTGGAGCCGTCGCAGCGGAAGAGCCAGCGAAAGAACCGTAAATCGTGGCTAGCTCCTGAGCTGCATACCAAATGAGCAGCCCATCAAAATTTCACTTTTCATGAAAATCAAGCAGAAGAAAAAGAATTTAAAAAATAACTCAAATGTATAAATATTTGATTTGATTGATGAGCCGTTCGTTGCGTTAAATAATTGCGTTGTGTATTAAATAAACGTTGTAAATAAATAATTTAAACTAGACTTAAATTATTATTTGGTTGCACGCTCGCTGAGGTATACTTTGTGGCCTGCTACCAGCTCGCTAAATCCTTCGACACGCCTCCATCTGTTACCACTCCTTCTCCAGCCAGACGGGCTGTTGTGAGTGCGAGTGCGAGTAGACAATGGGCACGGGAGCGGGCGCTGCGGCATACGCGGCAGCGGCTTGCACGGGCAGGGCTCGGGACAGCATCTGGCCAATGGCCAGCACGAGCAGTATGACACCGACGCCCAGACCCTTTATGGAGACCACTGTCAAAGCGGCCAGCAATGTGGTTATGACGCCCACAACAAAGGCGCCCGGCACCAGGGCAAAGCTAATGCGACGCAGAAAATGATGGCCAAAAGTGCGGCTCTCTGTTGGAATATAACAAAATCTGGTTAGCTTTGGTTAGTCAGTTAAAGCTCCATGCTAATTACTGACCGGCCACATCCGAGTCGTTGTTGGCCTGCTGCTGGCACAGCACCACATCGCACACCAGGCACAGACCGAGTAGCATGAGGGCGATTTTCTGAGCGGCAGCCATTTCGTTGAGACTCTTTAATCCTTCGTTTAATCCGTTTGCTTTGAGTTGCGGCCCGTGTCCACTGTACACTGCTCCAACACTGTCTGACAATTGAATGTGCTGTCCAAATTGACATTGGCTTTTATCAGGGCGTAGGTCTTGGCCACTCGCTGCTGGGGCTACTTGAAATTCGACAGCCGGACGTCGCACGAACGTGCGCCAAAACAACCAAATCGTGCCGCTGCTTTGAAGAATGCCTCGCTCGATGCCCAATCTGACAACTGGTCACTTTTTTGGTATACCCTGCCATCCATTAAAGAGTGTATACCAGTTTCGTTCAAAGGTATGTAACAAACAATAGGAGGCAACCTATATGAAAACCTAAACGCTTAGGAGCGATTTTGTTGAATTCTACCTCAAAGTAAGTAAAAATTGCGGAAAAGGTAACATGAAATTTGTTGTTTGCCATCCGATTGACCAAGTCTACTCCTTCTCGGTGAAAACTGTAGATAAAAGAGCTTTTGGGCAAATTCTTAAGTTTCGTACGTTCGCATTTAAACTTATTTTCAAAGCCCTACGTCACCCTATTCCATCTGCTTGTCTGTTCATCAACTGATCCATTTTTGTAAACGTTAATTCAGACGTGTTTCACACTTTTTGCAAAATCCACCCCCTATCGGTATAAACGAATGTTTTTTTTTAGCTTTAAGCTTTACACCATTGGTCTAAAATGGGCAGAAAATGTTGCTGCCAATATTCGGTTCATACTTCAATTAGCTTCAAACTAAATTTAAAAATTCGGTGGTTAACATAGGCTGAAATTGTATGGATGAAAAAGTTATATACAAAATGTGATGCAATAAATTGTCCACGGGTAACGCCGGGGAATGCTAGCTAGTAAAGTATATTGACTCTAGATAAGCATCGATCTGGCTATCTGCACAGATCGATAACTCGCTCCGTTTTTACACTATCGATTAGTATCGGTTTTTAAATTAGCATTTTTGAGCATAGACACCAAATGTAGCAGGTGGTTGCTGAAATAGGGTACATACATAAGGAATATTTTAATTCTTCTGCAAGTTGAACTATATTTAAGAACATATGTTAAGGCAGCTCAGCGCTTGTTACAAGATATCTTCTAGTCGGGCTTTAGTAGGATTGTCCCTAACATTTTTTTTGTATACATTTTTTGAATATGCATAAAGCTGGTGATGATTTTCACTGTGCACCACGGCGGTGGCGATGGCGGTGGCAACTGCGTGCCCTTTAAGGTGCAAGCGTCGGAGTTTGCTTTTGGCTTGCCTCTGCTGCCATGTTGCACTTGGAGCTCGGATTTGAAGACTTCGACATGGGCATTCTTTCACGACGCGTGTCTATATATTGAGGGCAGCGCCCACAAATGGGCGGAACCATTCGCTTTCATTTCTTCTTTTGTTTTTTCGCTGAACAATATTGATTTATCAGCTAATTGACAATGAGGCAATGCATATTAATTTTTACGCATTTAACCTACGTCGTCTCTAACGGCTTCTCATTGATAAATATATATACATACGTATACTATATGTGTGTACATACTTATCGTAGGCATTGTTCAAGTCCGCAATTCACTTTCATTATGCACTGTTGAGCCCTAAAAACGTGTTGCCTGTCTGGCCTAATAAAGAAAGAGAATTTTTACAAATTTTAAGGTGCATTGCTTGCAATTTATTCTGTTATCATAGAGCGGTCTAGACTAGAAAAGGATAACAACTTTAAAAAAAATATTACAATTTTATATTTCTACTAGCTGGTATAACCCGGCCTTGCCCGTGGCACGTATGTTATAAATTCAATGTTTTCAAAAAGCTTTGAAAATAATTTTGAAACTGATCGGACGGGAATCAAACAAACTTAAAATTCACCAATAAAAACTATGAAATGCATTCTCCACCGAAAGAGTTTAGATTTTGCGAAAAATGTGAAACACGTCTCAAATGAATTTTCATATAGATACGTGAAAATAAATTTGAGGGCGAGACGTCACCCACCAAATCTTTGACCCCCATTTCCACCAAGGGGGAATGGATTTTCTTAAAAGTGTGAAACACCACTCAAATGAATTTGAACAAAGATCTTTGAAAATGAGTTTTAGGCCGATCGGATGGTAAGCAAACAAGTTTCATAAAAACGTTTTATACAAGGAATAAATCCAAGTCCAGGAAATAAAAATAATTAATTATACAAAATTCAAGTCCAGTTGTCAATATGTATCGAGAGCTATTATATTACATGAAAACAGTTATCTACCAAATTCGGTTTTACATTTATGCAAATGAAGTTGAAAAATGACTCAGAATTGTTTTACAACGGGTTTCAATAAACGGCATCAGTTATGTGAAAGTAGTTAGTGGAAAGACCAAATGTGTTAAGCGGATTTTTCGCGCTACAGAATTTACTTTCTAGCCTGGATTTCCAATTCTGTTGTGGTCTAAGCAAGACACCCGCTCCTAGCTCAACCAGAGCAATTTCAGGAGAAGAAGATGAAGAAGAATCGGCGAAGGAGAAGAAGAAGCAGGGCATTGGCCAAACAACCAATTCTGTCAACAACTTTCTCATGCTATAGCCGTCAGAGCTAATTGTCTCTGGTTATGGCCAAAGAATTACACGAGCGACCGTTACCATGGTCCAGACCAGAGACCAGCTCAGACTACTTAACGTTTTCATATTATTTATGGCTAATAGCCTGAGCGGCGGTTGAGTGCAGGGGGCGCGGCAATAACAGCTAAAAGAAATCAATGCTGGAGCTCAATGAGAAATTGCAGGCCTGCTCCAATTATTTTTCATGTTCGCAGCGCGAGAGTCCGACAATGTTTTGAACACAATTTAATTGAGGAAGATTCAGAACAGGCGCAGCGCGTCTCATTCTTGGATAGACACATGCGGCAGCTTGTTGCCACCGTTGCAGTGACACCGTCTAAAGCTGGCTGTGCCCAATTCCAATGCCAATTCCAGCAGAATGTAGCCAGATCTGGTCTTGGCTTTCCTCGCTGCGGAGGCTGCAGTTGCAACTGCAACTACGACTGCGACTGCGACAGCGACAGCGACTGCAGCTGCAGCTGCTGCCACTGAGTTGATAAAATGCATGTTGCACGTCGATCGTGCCACATTCTGTGGCTGGCCAGCGCGTGGTGTGCACACAGTTTTCCTTAAGAGCAAGTGACATGCGCCAAAGATGAGCCGCTTACTGAATCTCCTAATGTTTTGTGCGCTGTGCGCCAGCTTTGCCAGTAGCCAGGACACCAGCGAGGCAAACAGCCCTATGCCAGAGGAGGCCGCCACGGAGGGAGCACGCGGCTTGGCCAGCAGCTATGAGCCGGAGGATAAGCAGGCGTTAAAGAAGAACTCGCACATTTATATGGGCATCTATAAGAACTACAAGAGCACCTATCTGGGAAACAAGACGACGAGTGAGTACAGAAAGCGACTGCGGGAACGCGTGAGTACGGCACAGCTGGCCAACAATGAGGCGGAGGCTGCCACAGAGGCAGTCGAGTACCAGGAGCTGGAGCAGCAGCAGCATCAGCAGCTGGAAATTGATGATGCACTCGCGCAGGAGCTGCGCAACGAGGCAAATGCGGAGGCGCTGCTGGAGGCACAGACCGAGACGCCCATCTATGATGAGAATGAGACGGCGGGCGGCAAGAAGCGGCGCAAGCGCAAACGCAAGAATCGCAACAATAGCAACAACAACAACAACAACAACAACAACAACAACAACAGCAACAAGAGGCTGGAAGAGCAGCTGCTCGAAGCAGAGCCCAGTTTGGCTGAGGAGGCCACATCCGATAACGTGGAGCACTACCATGTGGGACCCGGTCTCAATGTCAGCCTGGACATGAGTAATCACATTGTGCGCGTCAAACTGGATGGTGAGAACCTCAGGGAGATCATCGGCGATCGCTGGCTGACCACGGACAACAGCGAGGAGGGTGAGTCCGCAAGAGATTATTGCATGATAACAGCCATGTTGAACAGTTGCATTTAAATCCTAGGTCGTGGCAAGAAGTACGATATGATCACCAAGGTGCTGCCGCTGTTCATATTGCCCTTTCTCATCCAGTCGGCGATTGTGCCGTTTTTGGTTACCAAGCTGAAGCTGCTGCTGGTCAAGTCCATATTGGTGGGCAAACTGGCCATATTCTTGCTCATCCTGTCGGCCATCAAGAACAGCAACAAAATGATGCAATCGTATGAGGTGGCGCCCTCGTATTGGGCCAGCGAGCCAAGCCGAAGATCCGAGCTGGCGGCAGCTGCCTCATCCGCAGCTGCGGCCTACAATGGCTACCGGGTGGAGGGCAAACCCACCACCTGGGTCAATTAGCGAGAGGCAGACAGACAGCGAGAGGGAGTGAGAGAGAGAGAGAGAGAGTTTAGACAGCTAGTTAAAAAAACAAAACATACAAATTGCAATAAGTTTCGCATTAAGTTACAAAATATATGAAAATAAATAAAAACATATCGGGTGTCTCGCTGAGTTTTTAATTAGGTATTAAAAATAATAGAATATCTACTTTATTATAGACATTAATATACTTAAATAGGTTAGATAATCATCTAAAGAAGCAATTAGTTATTATCTAGAAAGAATTCGCATATGAGAGCTGGATGATGAAATTATCTGTAGAGAGATAATAGATTTATTATTTTTTTAAATAATTAATCTTTTGTTAAAAACATTTAGTGATTATTCTTTTTGAACATAAACAAAACGAGAAAGTAGGAAATCTTCGGCACGTCGACGATTAAATACCCTTGTAAACATTTGCTTAACGGTTTGGCGGATATGTGAGTTAGGCGAAGCTCGTAAACACAAAGTTTGATGCAAATATCTTGGAAAACAGAATAATTTGGCATTCCCTAACATTATTGACCGATTTTTTCTATAGAGCTATATAACATAGTAGTGCGATCTTGATATGACTTGGATCATAGTTAAACTATTAAATGCCGGAATCGGTTAAGATTTCTTGAGAAACAAAAACAAAATTCATACGATAACCTAGTTTTCGACCAATCGTTACTAAGGACGCTATATGGGATATATGGTCCGATCCGGTCGGCTCCGACAGATGTAATGCCTGCAACAAAAAGACGGACCTATTAAAAAAAATAGAAACAATTAGACGGTGTATCATGGTGTATCAAGTCGGCTGTTGATCAAGAATATTTATACTCTATGGGGTGGGAGCTGTCTCCTTCCATGCGTTACACACTTCATGTCTAAATTATAATAACCTCTACAATGGTATACAAACCAAGAAATTACACTTATTTATGTATTTGGATGCGTTATATTTTTAAAAAATTTCGAATGATTTTGTCTATTGAATCGAATGATATAATAGTTCGAGTCTGATAAAGAGCTTGCTCAAATAATAGAAGCATTCTTTGATTTGACCATTTTGAAAAGCTGAAAAGAAATTAGTAAAAATAAACTATTTTTAACAGATATTTTCTATATGATATGGTATGCCGAACCGACAAACTTTTACTGTTTGCAAAAAATAAAAATGATTCTCTATTAGGTTTCAACATGTAAGCTTTAAGTCCAATTGGCCACAGCTCTTCGCTTGATTCTTGATGCTGATTTAAAATATGAGATAGTTTACATTATGTGACAAGAAGAGTATACCTCTACTATTGGTATTAATTGGTCTAAGTTGGATCAGAAACAAATATGGCAAGATAGAGGAGTATATGTATATGTATTTTAAAGGATCTGAGCAGTTTTATTTGAGGTTGATTTTATTATTTCTTAACTTTTATCCAACCCACTAATATTGTGATATGATATAGGTTGGTACTCGATCTCGACCCGCTTGGAAGCCCTGTGTCTGATTAGACACTATGCAAGTTAAGGGCATACAAAATGGGCATAATACGGATTATCGTATGACATCAACTTTGGGACTTTACACATGTGCAAATAAATGCAGTCAATGTCAAGAGTTGCCTAAATGATTTATGCACCAACACAAAATATCTATTTTCAGTTACGTATTTATTGTCTATTGTTTTTGTCTAGGTAATAAATTAGCATTGGGTACAAATAAATTAACTTAAGTCTAGGCAACTAATTACAACTCTTGTTGTTGTTCTTGCTTTTCTTGTTGCGGCTGCGGTGCGGTGCGTGGCTCAACCAGCGCCCCAAATTGATATTTCGCTCAGTCTCGCACTCTCTCTCCTACTCTCTCTGTATGATTAGTAGCAGCTGTATTGTCGCTCCAATTGGACGCAGACATCGCACTGCAAACGGAATCCCCAGACCAGCTTGCAGTTGCAACGCCGCTCGCTGCGCACATGCTGGGAACGCACACGGAATCCACAGACCCGGCACAGTTGTTGGCAGGAGAGACGCTCTTCGGCGCTGCTGGCCGCATGCTTGGCGCACTGGCGGCCACGTGTGCCCGCCCAGCGTCCGCTGGTCTCGGGCTGGCAATAGTTGGGCGAGTCGAGCATATAGACGAGTGAGTCCAGCGGTATGTTCTGCCACATGATCTTCAGATTCCTTGAGGTCGTGTCCAGCTGTATGGCATCATCGTACATGTTCAGCAGATCCTGTGCCACAGACTCGAAGGGCTTGAGCACCTGCACGCACTGCTCCTCGAGGCAGCTGCCCTGTGCGCTGTGCCGCTTGCAGTGACACTCCTGCTCCATCGAACGCTCCAACAGGGCGCCAACCACGCGCTGATTATGCGCCGGAGCACCGGCCCCAATGCCATAGCGCTGTTCATAGAGCTGCATCGCCTTGGCCGGCTCATGGGCGCAGGGCACGTTCAGGGCATTGTTGCTGCAGCCGCAGCCGGCGATGACACCATTGGCACAGTCCTTGGTTAGCGTGTGCAATATGGCGGCCATGGATATGGCGGCCACATAGACATCCTCGCGATCCAGCTCCTGGGCGCCACTCGGGGCCGTGCGTCGCCTTATAAAGTCACTACTGGGGCAATTCCAGCGCTGCCATTTGAAGCTCTGCTGACAGCTGCTGATGGCCTGGTCCAAGCTGCTGCTGCTGATGGCCTCCCAGGAGAGCGGCGCCTGGAATTGTGTATACTGATAGTAGTTCATCGGCTCCACCAAGCTGGCCGACGATGCGCTACTGGCAAAGCTCAGGAATATTTGTATGATATAAAACATAATGTTGTTGGACGTGTGTGTGTTGTGTGTGTGATCTCTGTGATGTCTTTGGGTCGACTGTGGGCTGTCAGGAGCCTGGGCCTAGTTTTTATACCAAGTCACAAGCTTGGGCCGTGGGAAATACGAGGCGACAGCGAAAAACCGGAAATTTGCCTTTTGTCAACTTGGGACTTTTTCATGAACAGAAGAAACTCCCAGCGCCTCACAAATAACCCAACAGATCCTGGCCCGACGCAATTGCGGAGCAGCCCAGTTTTATTCCCCTCTACCTGCCCGGCGTCCGTCCTGCGGCGTCGATCCTCGTCGCCAGCAACTTTCCCACGCTTAGGCAGGTAGATGTCCTGCAGCGCACACTACGTGTTCATGAATGAAACTCAATCGAATCCATTCACTTTCGTGGATTTTCCCAACTGCTCAATATCAATGCTCGGCGTACGGCGTGCATTTGCAGCCGTACTCCGGGCTGTAGTCCTGTGTTTTGCCAACTCGGCTGGCAAAGCCAATTATCTAACAAAACATATGACAAATAATAGAATATGGAAAATTAATTGCGCTTTGCGGTAAGCTGTTTGTGAATCCCTCGACCAGGCTCTAGCCTGCCAGCCAGAATTGCCCATGCTCGCCCATATTATTGGTATTTCCGGACAACAGTAAATGCCACGACTTGGCTAAACGGCATGAGTTAGTCGTATAAGGCAAAGTTCAATTACAAGCCATTATCATAAATCAACAAGTTTTATGATATTCGCTCTAATACATATTCGCTCACATACTGATACCCTGTACCCATTGAAATGGGTTTGCTTAAAGCTGTGAAGATAGAATCTGGATTTTTTGTATACAAACACATTTAAGTGTCATCCTAAACACTCAAGTTATTTAAGAATATATATAAACTAGAAACGAACGTATGTTAACGCTCTGGCAACGCTCAGTCGGATAGACTGGAATACTGTTATTTAGATAAATATTGGATTTAACTAAAATTATTGAATTATTGAAAAACTAACATTTGAATGTCATCATTAAGTGCTGAAAATTTAATAATAATTTCTAGAAAAACGCCGAGGTTGTTAAAGAATATTTTTAACCATAAAGGGACATATGTTGCCGGTCTGGCAACTCTTAGCCGCACAGACTGTGCTATAATACGTCTAATGCTTAAAATATTAAAACAAAACCAAATAAACACCTAAGGTCTGGCAACTCTGTCCGACACCTACTCGACTCTCTCCTAGTGGCTAAGATTACTATTTGATTAAACTATAAATGTGCATGTAATACTGATAATGGCTTAGTTCACTCACAACTCATATCTAATCCTAATTTATAGCCAAATTTCCAAATTCCATGGACAAGCGACAATATTATTGCCATAGATTAATGGATGTACATATATGTATGCGCATGTTCCCGTAAATCGTGCCACACTTTTTTTTCCCTATCATAAGGGAAATAATATTACATATTGCCAGGCATTTGAAAAACATGCGCGGAAATTTCATGTTTTGGGTTTTAACACAATGAAAATACCAAAAGTCTCTAATTAGGCCGAGAATCCCGTATTGCCGTAGGCACCGGAAAAGGGTTTTTTAAGTACCTAAAGCGCCGGGGTAATACACAAAACCAAAGCCGGGCGAGCTGCTCGCAATCGATCAGGTAGTCAATTTGGGTAAAAACTTTGGTCAATTGGTCTCAACACAAATATAGGATATATATGTAAATATGTACACACATGTGGGCGCCGGCGCTAGGGAAAGTTAGGAAGCTGGCGCCGGGAGTTTCTGCAAAAATTGTTCAAGAGATTGGGAATTCTTGTTGCGCAGGAAAAACGCGCAGATTTTTGGCTTTCTAATCGAATCCGCTAATGCGGACAGAATGGATTGGCCCGTAAATATGCCAGATAAATATATATATATATATATGTATGTATATATAATACACATTCTTATGGCCGCAGTTGCTCTTGACGTGGGTGAGTGCCGGGTTCGACTTGCGATTGCGATTAGATTAGCAATCAGTCCATGACGGTATCACTCAGCGTCCAATTAAGATATATGTGAGTGTGACGGCTCGTGGGTTACCTATCACTGGGCGTCCATGATGGGCGCTTAGTTGCAATTCAGATGTCGCCGGTTTTGGATTGAGGCCGCAAACGAAAATGATAATAACCGCTAAATTGGTTAGCATTTGTCTGGGCGTCGCGCTGACGGCGTTTACCGTGTCGACAATTGTGCTGGCCGTGCAGAAGGCGAACTTGACAGCCGATTTGCGTGAGGCCCAGGATAAGCTCGATCTGCTCGAGGCGGGCCTGGCGTCCAGCACGGCGGCGCCGTCGAGCACCAGTGCGGGCCCAACACCGGAGCCGGGCCCAACCCCGGAGCCGGGCACCACTGCGGCGCCGGAACAGATTGACTATCGCCTGCCCAGCGCCTTGATACCCAACAATTATGATCTCTATTTGTATCCAAACATTGAGACGGGCACTTTTAGTGGCGAGGAGACAATCAACATAACCGTCAACGAGGCCACGGACCAGATTATACTGCATTCACTTTATCTGGAAATCAATGGTGTGCATGTCTTCCAATCGGATGAGGTCACCATTTTGGTCACAGATTACACATTTGATACCGTTCGGGAGTTCCTCATCATCAATTTGAATACGAAACTGACCGCGGGCGCCCTCGTACTGCTCAATATCGAATTCTCCGGAAATATGGCCAACAAAATTGTGGGTCTATACAGCTCCTCGTACGTGAAGGCCGATGAGAGCCGCAAATTGATAGCCACCTCCAAGTTTGAGCCAACCTACGCTCGTCAGGCGTTTCCCTGCTTCGATGAGCCCGCCCTGAAGGCCACCTTTGAGATCACATTGGTGCATCCGACGGGCGACAATTATCATGCGCTCTCCAACATGAACATGGAATCGGAGCTTGACAAGGGCACCTACACGGAGGTCAGGTTCGCCAAGAGCGTGCCCATGAGCACATATCTGGCGTGCTTCATTGTCTCCGATTTTGAGGCCAAAACGGTGCAGATTGATACCAAGGGAATCGGCGAGGCCTTCGACATGGGCGTCTATGCCACCCCCGAGCAGATCGACAAGGTTGACCTCGCGCTAACGGTGGGCAAGGGCGTCATCGAGTACTATATTGATTACTTCCAAATTGAATATCCGCTGCCCAAGCTGGATATGGCGGCCATACCCGACTTCGTGTCCGGTGCCATGGAGCACTGGGGTCTGGTCACATATCGGGAGACATCGCTCCTCTACGAGGAGGCCACCAGCTCCACTGTGAATAAGCAGCGCATCGCCAGCGTGATAGCACACGAGTTTGCGCACATGTGGTTCGGCAATTTAGGTACTTATGTCCCCTCCACTGATAAGGAGGATTAACCCAACTGGTATATATATATTTTTTTTTCGATTTCCCTGCTATCAGTTACTATGCATTGGTGGAATGATTTATGGCTAAACGAGGGCTTTGCTAGCTTCATTGAGTATCTCGGCGTTGATGCCGTCTTTCCCGAATGGCAAATGGTAAGTCAATAATCCACAAAGTCGAGCCATAAATTTCAGTTTATATATACATATAGTTTCTTTATTATTATTTTATTTATTATACCCTGAACCCATTGATGGGTAAAAAGATTAAAACGGTGCAAAGGTTTATAAAAGGCAGCATCCTCAACCCATAAAGTATATTTATTCTTGATTAGCATCAAAAGTCGAATTGATCTTGCCGTGTCCGTCGGCCCCTTCGTCTGTCCGTATGAACTCTATGATCTCAGAACCTACCAGAGCCAGAGACTTAAAATAGGCCCTCCTAGTGCCCGCGCAGTAGAAGTTTCTTTCCGATAATCGATAGCTTGCCTCGTTCCCAGGCAATAAATAAAAGGCGATATATTTCGATATCAGAATCCTATATTTTGATTTTAAGAGCTAGAGTCACCAATCATGGCATGTAGCTTCGAGTAGAGTATATGGAGATCAAATATCTTTAAAACTATAAAAAATAATATAAATATTTATTTTCTTTAACGCCAGTATCCCTTTGCCATTTGGCATTTGGTGTTAGTAGAAAAAATGTCTGGGTATCCCATAATCGAGCACTCCCGACTAGGCCACCCTTACTTGTTATACCCTTGCAGAGGGTAAAATGTGTAACGCATTGAAGAAGACATATCCGACCCCACTAAATATATATATTCTTGATCAGTATTAACAGCCGAGTCGATATAGCCATGTCCGTCTGTCTGTGTCTATGCGAACTAGTCTCTCAGTTTTAAAGCTATCTTTGCAGAAGTCCCTCTTTTTGTTGCACGCAGTACATATGTTCAAACCAGCTGGGTCGGACCACTATATCATATAGCTGCCATAGGAACGATCGGTTGAAGGGTAGGTTCTTATATGAAAAACATTTTTGTTTATCAAGATATCTTGATCAAACTCGGCATTTATTAGTTTTACTATGCTCCTCATATATATTCAAAATCCTATTAAGATCGGACCACTATATCTTATAGCTGCCATAGGAACGATCGGTCGAAAATTAAGTTGTTGTATGCAAAATTTGTTTGTTTTTCAAGATATCTTAATCATACTCGGCATTTACTATTTTCCCTGTTCTTCTTAGATACGGGCAAAGCACTATGAGCATTAGGAAAAGGTTGGGTCTGCAAGGGTATTATATCTTCGGAGTGCCGAAGATAGTTCTTCTTTCTCGTTTTTATATTATTTTATTTTAAAGATAAATTGTATTCCATTTTGTTGCTTTATTTTATTTTGTTAAATATTATTTTTATTTTACTAAATCAAATTTAATTAATCCATTTTTTTTAATTTTACAGCGAGATCAGTTTATCGTTAGTACTTTGCACTCAGTGTTTACCCTGGATGGCACTCTGGGCTCGCATCCCATCATTCAGAAGGTTGAAAATCCGGATCAGATAACGGAAATCTTTGACACCATTACGTATTCCAAGGGCTCCTCTCTGGTGCGCATGTTGGAAGACTTTCTGGGCGAGACAATCTTTCGCACAGCGGTTACCAATTATCTAAATGAATACAAATACGAGAACGCCGTAACGGACAACTTCTTTGCGGAGATTGATAAATTGGGTCTGGAGTACAATGTGTCGGATATAATGCTCACTTGGACAGTGCAGGTGAAGAAGATCGCTTTGTGCAGCATGCCCGCCAGATTTGCATAGACATTTAACCCAATTCGTTGTAGATGGGTCTGCCGGCGGTCACGATCACCAAGGTCTCGGACACTGAATACAAATTAACGCAGAAGCGTTTCTTGGCCAATCCGAATGACTATGATGCAGTGCACGAGTACTCGGAATTCGAGTAAGCTTCCCAGTTATTTATTGCCTTATCTTTATTTGTTTACTGTCTGGATTATCAGATTGAAATGTTCACACATATATTATTTATTATACGATTGCAGCTACCGCTGGTCCATACCCATCACCTATACCACCAGCGCGGATGCCACGGTGCAGCGCGCCTGGTTTTATCACGATCAGAGCGAAAGTAAGTGCTGGCATCTATATTCCAGTCCATACTAAACCATAATGATCACTATCACATCAATCTCTGTGCAGTCACCATTACTGTGCCCAGCGCTGTGGAGTGGATCAAGTTTAATCACGATCAGGTTGGCTATTATCGCGTCAACTACGAGCAGTCCCTGTGGCAGGCACTGGCCAATCAAATGGTCGCCAACCCGGACGCATTCAGCGCTGGTGACCGTGCCTCCCTGCTCAATGATGCCTTTGCCCTGGCCGATGCCACGCAGCTGCCCTATGAGATTGCCTTCGACATGACCAAGTATTTGGCCAAGGAGCTTGATTATGTGCCCTGGAGCGTGGCTGCCTCCAAGCTGACATCCCTGAAGCGCACCCTGTTCTACACCAGCAGCTATGTCAAGTACAAGAAATATGCCACAGCTCTGATTGAGCCCATTTACTCGTCCCTCACCTGGACTGTGGGCGAGGATCATTTGGATAAGTATGTGGAGATTTGTTAAAAGCAAAGCACACGGGGAATCCCTCGGGGTTTTCTCTAATCTTTTTTCCACCCTGTGCCCATTAAAAATGGGAAAAAGAGTATATGGACGGTGTCTGCTTTAGAGGAGAGCTTGCCAAATAGAGGAGGAAGAGGTGTCCGCTTAAAAGAAGTGTCCGCTAGTTTTCACTGTGGTGCAGCACTGTAGTACAGTGAAAACTATCTTGGGCGAACAGCCGTCTAATAGCGGCAAATGTACTGGCATAATTTATGATGGTTTAAGAGCTAGTGTCCGCCTAAAAGGGGTGCCCGCCTAACAGGAGTGTTGGTTATTAGAGTTTTCACTGTGGCACATACCTATAAAATATAATTGATCATGAAGTTGGGCTGAGTCAATATATTAATGAAGGTCTTAAATTAGAAATCTGGGTGATAAGGATTATATTTTTTCTAGATAGCTCTACAAAGTCTCCAGAATTTATATAGTTTCGAAAAACGTTTTTTCTTTTAATTTTAGGTATTGAAATTTAAATTTTATTTGAAGTTATCGATAACTTCACCCATTTGCCGGAAATCTACAAATTTCGATCTTAAGACCTAGACATACTAATTTTGGAATTCATAAAGGCGACAATATTTAACTATTAAAAAATATCGTCACATTAGTTAAAAGCTGGGTACAGGGTATTTTGCAGTCGTGCACCCTCGACTAGAGAACCCTTAATTCGATTTTTTGTTGTTTTCTATTCTTGTTCTACCACAATCTATCTAACTCGGGCTCTCTTTTCTCGTTTGTTTTCTCTCTTCAGCCGTCTGCGAGTGACCGCCTTGAGCGCCGCTTGCTCCTTGGGTCTCGAGTCCTGCCTGACTGAAGGCGGCCAGCAGTTCAAGAGCTGGCTGGCGACGCCCGATACGCGTCCCAGTCCCGATGTGCGCGAGACGGTCTACTACTATGGCATGCAGTCGGCGGGCAATCAGGAGATTTGGGAAACCGTTTGGCAGCTCTTCATCAACGAGGCCGATGCCAGCGAGAAGTCGAAGCTTATGTATGGCCTGGCCGCCATACAGGAGCCGTGGCTGCTGCAGCGTTACATTGATCTGGCCTGGAACGAGGAGTATGTACGTGGTCAGGACTACTTCACCTGCCTAACCTATATCTCGGCCAATCCCATGGGTGAGCCGCTCGTGTGGGACTATGTGCGCGAGAACTGGCTGCAGCTGGTGGAACGCTTCGGTCTGAACGAACGCTATCTGGGCAATCTGATACCCTCGATAACGGCTCGCTTCCACACCCAAACGAAGCTCGAGGAGATGGAGCAGTTCTTTGCCAAGTATCCAGAAGCTGGCGCCGGCACAGCAGCACGTGTCCGTGCACTGGAGACGGTCAAAAATAATATTGTCTGGCTGGCCGAAAATCTCGAAAGCGTCGACGCCTGGCTGGAAACGCAGGAACAGCGACTGCACTAGGGGGCAGGCAGCAGGCCAAGGGGGCTAGCGGAATACCCTAAAAGTGGCACAGCTTTGTATTCATCGAATTGCCATAATAAATAAATACACGTTGCGTATACGTAAAATAAAGATTAGACATTTATTGAGAAAAATAACTAAGGCTACTCTAGTCGGGTGTGCCCGACTAGGGCATACACTTTTTTTACCTATTTAATGGGTAAAGGAATAATGGATTTAATAAAAAAAACTTAAGCTAAGAATTTAGTTGGCCACAAAACGAAAGATACTTGGTCTGTATATACTATACTAGAAGCTAAATTGCGAATTTGGTAACTCGTTGGATATCAGGGCATCAAAAACATGTTTTTTATTTTATCTATTTGACATGTCATAGGTAGCGTTTCTGTGTGTGTATCAAATGTATTGATAAAGACATTTACATGTTACTGATTATCAAAGCTACCAGTGGGCGTGGCACTCGGACAGACATAAGCCAAAATATGCAAATCGAATTGGTTGAATTGGACATAGCACAAGCCCAATAGGCCCGCCCTCATGCCCCATTTGGTATGAGGGTAGAGTGTAACAGCTCGGTAAGTGTCGAAATAACTATATTGCTTGCGACTCAATTTGTCATCGCTGAGCGATCTCTGCTGCTCCATTAACTGGCTATCAGGTGGGGCACCAGCAAATGGACGGCAAATTGCTTTTAGTTCTAGTTGTACGCGCATTATCGGCGATGTTGGCCATAAAGTGACTCAAGTGCCCATTATTAAAAATTAGCTACAAAAATATGGCTACAATCGTTTGGCTCTATTATGAATACGGCTAAAGTGTCGCCAATTTCTTCAGTTAGCTGCCGTCGATCAAACGGCCAAGATGTTTTTGCACGGCAATTTTTTACGGGTGGCTCTGTTTTGGGCCGTTGCGGCCCTTGCGGCGGCCACAATTGTGGTCGCTGTGCAGCGCAACCAGCTGGAGGCGGATTTGCGGGATATGCGCGAAAAGATTGACATGTACGAGGCGCTTAATGGATCGCAGCTTGCAGTGGACCCCAATAAACGCCAGAAGCGTCAGACTCGAGAGGAGGTTAGTGTCCGTCTGGGTGTGTGAATGTTTAAAAGCGGGTCGCTTAGCTTATCAGCGTATTCTGTCCCATTAGATCGATTATCGTCTGCCAACGGCACTCGAGCCCCAGCATTATGATCTCTATCTGCATCCCGATTTGGAAGCGGGCACCTTTACGGGCCAAGAGAAAATCACAATTAAAGTGCTGGAGGCGACCAAACAAATCGTTTTGCATTCCCACAAATTGAACATAACCAGCGTTTATGTGGAGAATCGGGAGCTGGAGAGCCATGAGCTGGACGAGGTGCGCGAGTTTCTCATCATCAATATGCAGGAGCAGCTGCCCGTGGATGCGGTCATCACGCTGGGCATTGTGTTCGAGGGCCAGTCGATCAACAAGCTGGTTGGGCTCTACAGCAGCAGCTATACAACGCCAGCCGGTCAGCACCGGTGAGTAGAGCGCGGGTTTTTTTGGGCTTCATTGTGTCGCAGCCTAAAAGCATGCCACATATTACTCTCTCTCTCTCTCCCTCTCTCGTGCAGCGATATTGCAACCACCAAATTTGAGCCCACCTATGCGCGACAGGCGTTCCCCTGCTTCGATGAGCCCGCCATGAAGGCTACGTATGCCATCAGCGTGGTGCATCCCAGTTCCGGCTCCTACCACGCGCTCTCCAACATGGATCAAACGGTAGGTCAACGTGTGTGTTTAGCATTGTTTTTATCTTCTTTGAGCATTGGATTCATCTTATTCAATGCAGGAGACGACAAATCTAGGCGAGAACACGATGGCCACCTTTGAGACCAGTGTGGCCATGAGCACCTATTTGGCCTGCATCATTGTCTCCGATTTTGACTCGGAGTCGAGCACGGTGAATGCGAATGGCATTGGCAAGGATTTTGCGATGCGCGCCTTTGCCACGCCCCATCAGCTGAATAAAGTGAAATACGCGTTGGAATTCGGCACAGCCGTCACCGAATATTATATACAGTACTTTAATGTCGAATATCCCCTGCCCAAACTGGACATGGCTGCCATACCGGACTTTGCCTCCAATGCCATGGAGCACTGGGGCCTGGTCACCTACAGGGAGACCGCGCTGCTCTACGACGAGGACTACAGTTCCACGCTAAATAAACAGTCCATAGCCGGTGTGTTGGCCCATGAGATTACGCATCAATGGTTTGGCAATCTGGTCACCATGAAGTGGTGGAATGATTTGTGGCTAAACGAGGGTTTCGCCCGCTTTATGCAGTACAAGGGCGTGCATGCAGTGCATCCAGATTGGGGCATGGTAAGCTCGAATTCGGGGATTCACATCGAAAAGTCCATCTCATTCGCATTCTCCTTTAGCTGGAACAATTCCAAATAATGGCACTGCATCCGGTGCTCGTGTTCGATGCCAAGCTCTCCTCGCATCCCATTGTACAGAAAGTGGAATCTCCGGATGAAATCACGGCCATATTCGATACCATCAGCTACGAGAAGGCGGGCTCTGTGCTGCGCATGCTGGAGTCCGTTGTCGGCGCCGAGAATTTCGAGCTGGCGGTCACCAACTATTTAACCAAATTCCAATACGCCAACACTGTCACCGATGACTTCCTGACGGAGGTGGCCGCCCAGGTCACCGATTTCAATGTGAGCCAATTCATGCGCACCTGGACGGAGCAGATGGGCTATCCGGTGCTCAATGTGCGGCGCGCAAGCGAAGCTGGCTTCATCATTAGCCAACAGCGTTTCCTCTCGAACAAGGCCAGCTATGAGGAGGCGGTCGAGTCCACTGAATTTGGCTATAAGTGGAGTGTGCCCATAACCTATTTTCTGGACACGTCGGAGAGCAACGAGGTGCACAGCTTCATATTCGAGTATGATCAGGATGAGGTGGGCGTGGCTGTCAACACGGATGTTAAATGGCTCAAACTGAATTCCCATCAGCTGGGCTACTATCGCGTCAACTATGAGTCCGACATTTGGCAGCAGCTCATCCAGCAGCTGGTTGAGCAGCCAACGCGTTTCGATATTGCGGATCGCGCACATCTGCTGGACGATGCTTTCGCCTTGGCCGATGCCAGCCAGTTGTCGTACAGCGTGCCGCTGGAGATGACCGCCTACCTGTCGCAGGAGACGGACTTTGTGCCCTGGTATGTGGCCACCTCCAAGCTGCTGTCGCTCAGAAGCAACCTCATGTTCACCGACAGCTATGTCTCCTATTTGAGCTATGCGCGCACCCTGCTGACCAATGTCTACAAGGAGGTCGGCTGGACAGTCGATAACGACAACCATTTGGGCAAGTGAGTGCAAATCACACTATATATATACATATATGGGATATATCCCAGCCGGCTGCATACTACTCTAACTCTCTCGCTCTCTTCCTTTAGCCGCCTGCGTGTTTCTGTGCTGGGCGCAGCCTGTGCCTTGGGCGTGGAAGATTGCCTGCAGCAAGCCGAGGAGCTATTCACCAAGTGGCTAAACGCGCCAACCGCCGCCAATCGCCCAGCGCCCGATCTGCGCGAGCTGGTCTACTACTATGGCATACAGCAGACGAGCAGCGAAGCCAGCTGGGAGCAGCTTCTGGAGCTGTTCAAGTCCGAGTCCGATGCCAGCGAGAAATCGAAGCTAATGTACGGCCTGTCGGCTGTGCAGGATAGTCAGCTGCTCTATCGCTTCCTCGAGCTGGCCACAGATGAGAGCATTGTACGCTCCCAGGACTATTTCACCTGTGTGCAGAACATCGCCGCCAATCCGGTGGGTCAGCCCATTGTCTGGGATTATTATCGCGAGCAGTGGCCACAGCTCATCAATCGATTTGGCCTCAATGATCGCAATCTGGGCAAGCTGATAGCCAGCATAACGAGTCGATTTGCCAGCCAGATAAAACTGGATGAAGTGCAGGAGTTCTACAGCAAGTATCCAGACTCTGGAGCGGGCGCCAGTTCCAGGCAGCAGGCAGTTGAGACGATCAAATACAACATTAACTGGCTCAAGGAGAACTCCGACGACATTGCCAGCTGGCTGAGCGGTACGGCCGCCCCATTGACCTCTAAAAACCCATTGTAAAAAATTGACCACAAATTTCCCTAATTCAATAAATTCCGTTCCGTGGAATATTTCCTCAATTACTTGCATAATAAGGCGAATGGCCAAGAAATATAACAATAAAGTAGACCAAACAAATCAAGTCGTAAATTTAAACTATGCATTTTATTTTACACAACCGAGTGGCGATTTTAGTGGCCCTTAAAAAACCAGGCACTTCGATAGCTTTGATAAAAAATGCCTGTCATAGTCGTAAACCCAACTCCGAATCAAACCGGCCACGTCGGATATATGGATATATTGGACCATATAAACTTAAGAGCCCCCCATTATAATGATATCGCACTAGCCCCATATCGTTAACTATGGCCCAGCCCAATTGGCCAGATATCAATAATCTGTTTATCAAGTCCAAATTGTTTTTCAGATGCGAGTTTTCCAGTTAGTTTAAGTCTAAACGCGCTGCACAGTGCAAGTGGTTTGGCAAGAGCGCGAATCCTAGAGCAAGGACTTTACATTAAATAAAAAAATGGTTGCCTGTGAGTGTTACAACTGCTATAAAAATGATATATGGAATTTATAATCCATTTTCGATCAGGGCTAACGGTCAAGGTGGTGGCCATCTGCTTGGGCCTGACCACGACGGCCTTTTGTGTTGCCACAATTGTGTTGGCCGTGGAGAACGCTAATCTGGAGAATGATCTGCAAGATGCCATGGATAAGCTGGAGGTGCTCATTTCTAGTACAACAACAGCCGGTCCCACCGTGGGCACCACGTCGGGAGTTACAACACCCAGCGGTGGCACCTCCCCGGGTACATCTCCGGGAGACTCAACACCAGGTGGCGGCACCACTCCAGGTGGGGTAACTACGCCAAGTGGCGGCACCACGCCCAGTGGCGGCACCACACCTGGCGGCACCACACCAGGCAACACTACGCCCAGCTCGACGTCTGCCAATCCGAATCCCATCTATCCCACTCTGCCCACCGGACTGCCCAATCCCGAAGAGGTATGTACTTGCTCTCGTTTATAGCCCCAGTCATTGTGCCGTAAAGGCGGCATTAGCACCAATTCACATATTATCATACTATATGGACCTTTAGGTTTTTTTTTTCTGGGGTCGATTATCGGCTTGGGGTTTTGCCGTTTATTTTTTTATCTTGCCTAAAAAACGCTGCGCGTTGACCAGCGGTCAGTTTGGTTGCAGCCTTCGTACATATTGGTAACTTAAAATGGGCAGATTAATGGCAAATCTAAAGAGTAAGGCGTGGTCAATACCCTGCAAATTCTGGGCTAAAGCTTGCAGTTATTTCCGTTAGATAATATCACAGCGGAGCGTGTGGCCATTTTCTTTGGCCTGCTGTCAACTTGCTTGGCCTTGGCCCTGGTCATTGTTGTGGTGCACAGGGACAATCTGATGCTGCAGCTGTCGGAGGCCCGAGAGAAACTCGATGTACTGGAGGATTATATACAGACCAATGTGCTGTCCGATCCAACAGAACAGTTTGAGGCGCACTTACGCAGCGAATTCTGAACTATTTAACAAACTGTTCTCAAATATGGTTTACTAATAAAGATCACGATTACAGGCCAATTACTTTCGGGATAAATGCGTCAGATATTACTGTGGCGGACTCAGTCCAGCTAGTTAAGATAGCGACCAATAATAAAGTTCTTTATCGCGTGCCTTATCGTATTTTAACGACTTCCTTGTTATCAATTATGTATATTCACCGAATCTTTACAACTGCAACTAGATTGTATATCGGCTGCCGACTGAGCTGAGGCCCATACGCTATCGACTCTATTTGCATCCCGATCTGGATACGGGAGCCTGTGAGGGCACCGTCTCCATACAGTTCCAGTTGGACGCAGTGACCAACTTGATAGTGCTGCACGCCAAGGATCTGAATGTGCATGGCATTAGTATTCTGAATATGATGGCGCGCATGCGCATCGCCATCGACAAATTTTATTTGGATGATACGCGAGAGCTACTGATAATCGAGCTGAAGGAGGTGCTGAGCACGAACAAGGCCTATACGCTGTCCGCTAGCTTTGACTGCAATTTGGACAATCTATATGGTGCCTACAGAAGCAGCTATACGGATGCGGAGGGCAATAAGAGGTGAGTGTATTGAGGCATTTGGTTTTTAAGTTAGATTTAAAAAAAACAACAAACTACGCGCTTAAAATCCTAACTAAACTACGTAGAGTAAAAGCTCGTGAGCTTAGTGCTTAATGAACTGGTGCGTGTTCAATAAGCCGGTCTCAGCTGTTGAGCAAAGCTTTCGGGAAAGCTTGCACGCAGCAGCAGCTTTGACAGCCGACTTTTAGTTGTAATTTCAAAGCTGAGCGCGACGGTTGTCGTTTGTCAATGCGCATCGCTTCAACGAACTCCGATCTCGTCTCTCGCCCTCTCGCGCGCTCGTGCGAATGTGAAACGTGCGCGGCATCGATTTGAATTAAGTAAAGCAACAGCTTAAGCCGAGTGCCGTTATTAAATAGAGCAGTTATTGGCTGGGCATGGTTAATAATTAAGAAAAAATCTGCTGTCACACTGCCTAACTGTAAATCAAGTAGAGCTGCGCAAAGCGCAATGCCCACAAAAATAAGCCAACCAACTGTTCAGTGCGAATTATGAGCGTCTTTGTAATAGATATCCATCTACGTACATCTTACATACATATGTATGTATTTGTGCAATGAATACCGTTTAAATTTTATTTTCTGGGCACCGAACAGTTTTTGTTGTTGTCATTGTCCAGGCGAGGGCAATGTGCCATTATATTACTAATTGAGCGCAGTGAGGCGAAAACTTATTTTAATACGTTTTCATAATAATAATAAAACACAAATGCGGCCATTGAATTCTATGCCAACTTTGACTTTCAACAATAAACACAATAAATATGAACGCAAGAGGCAGCAGAAGTTTCACGCACGCAAAACAGGTTGCAACTGCGTTTGCTCCACCAAGCCAGCAGCACCCCCTTTGGCCGCCCCCTTCTACTCACAGCTAGCCGGCAAACAGGCTTCTGCTCAGCCTCTCTCATAGTTCACTTGCCGCGCAAGTTCTTGGCCTTAAAATCGGCCAATACACGACGTCGACGTCGACGGCGGCGGCGACTTCGCCTTGCTTCTGTCTTGTGTTTACATTTACAAGCTGCAGCCAAGCGCTTGAATAGCTGGCAGAAGCTGCCGCTCGTTTATCTAGAAAAAAATACTTTCTTCAACAGCTCAAACGAAATGGGTCGACATCGACTTAAATGTTGTTTCCGTTTCTTGTCGCAGTTGATTCTGGTTTTCTTACAAACTTCTCTCACTTGTTTTTTTTTTTGGTTTCATGTTTTTGTTATGTTTTGGTTCTGAGAAGTTCGGGCAACGCGCTTTATTCAAACATTTTTCGTTTTCATTGGCACTGATTTCTTTTCTTTTCCCTTCCCATTTCACTTTGACGCCTTTGGGCCAACTGTCAGTCGAACCCATTTAAATTTCTTTCACTTCTTTGGTGTTTGGAAAAAATGAAGGTCAGCTCTTTTTGATAAATAACCAAATTATACTTGATCATGTGTCTGAGAGCACAATTTTTGATTAATTTGCATTTGTGAAAACTAATTCTTCAATCAAGAGTTCCTCACTTTCATTTAGAATGCATGTGAAAGCAGTCTAAATAATCAAAGAAAACCATTTTTAATATAGTGAAATGTAGCTTATTTTATTAGTCAACATAAACTTATATTTTTTGGCTAAAAGAGAATCTGTAAGGTTTGTGAAACAAATATAAAGATCGATAAATGGGTTTTCGGATAAACAACAAATAATTGAATTAGTAGAGATTGAGGGAGATTATGATAGTGAGAGATAAAAGGGTATTATATCTTAGAATAGTTAATGAATACATGCTCTTAGTAGATCATGTGATGTCTTAATTGAAGTACAGGACCAAAGGCGTTGATATATACCCAAATAAAAATGCATAACTATAAGTATAGTTGATGAATAGATTTTAATCTTGAGATTTATTCTGTACCGAAGAAATAATTACTTTTTTATATCTTTTGGTAGTCTATAGTTATTATTAACTCATAATATATACTAATGTGCACAATAAGGGAATATAATAAAGTTGTACAAAATTTGGGTACATCATATAGGTATATATCAACTACTACTTTCCCTTATTTCAATATCGTTATTATTTCGTTTTTACGTAACGTATTAAAACAAATCGAATACTATTTAATTATTGTGCATAACAGGCAAACTGTTGCAAGCATTTCTTCGTTTTTATACCCTTGCAGAGGGAATTATAATTTTGTCTTGAACTGTGTAAAGCATAGAAGGAGACATCTCCGACCCCATAAAGTATATTTTTAATCAGTATCAATAGCCAAGTCAAGCCGAGTCCTTCCGTCTGTCAGTTTTAAAGCTATCGTCATGAAACTTTGCACATGGTCCCTTTCTGTTGCACGCATTACATATGTCGGATCCGGCTGGATAGGACCACAATATTATATAGCTGCCGTAGGAACGATCGGTCGAAAATGAGGTTCTTATGCATTATGAGCATTATGAAAAGATCCGGTCTGCAAGGGTATTAAATATTCGGCGTGCCGAAGATAGCTTTCTTTCTCGTTTTGTTTTGATTTTCGTAGTTTTTTTTTTTTAACTTTTGGGTGTGCGTTTGAAATACTTATCATATATGTGTCTGAGCGTATTTTCAATTGCAGTCACGTATTGGGGGCCCTGCATGCGTCACAGTGACCCAATCAGAGAGCTGGCAATGGGCCTGGGCTTGGGCCAGGGCATTTGTTATGTGGCCGCGACTCACTTTTTGGGCATTTGTGGGGCGCACTTTGCATTTAATTATTTATTTGGGAAAGTTGTGAAATTGGAAAAAAAAGTCACTGAACGTTTGAATAAACCAACAAATTATTTTTAATAACAATAACATTCTGCGAGTGCATTCAACTTTAGTTCGTGAATTTAATTAAATGGAAATTAAAACGTATTTGACTTAATGCCACATTCATTAACAAGGCAGCATAACTGTTCTGCCATTTGACATTTTCCTCGAGCTTGATGAGTAACCAACCTTAGATCTACACTCAAAAAAAACGAAATGACAAAAAGAAAATCTATTTTTAATTTCGAATAAAAATCAAACCGTTTAAGTCTTGAAAACTTAAGTACAAAGTATTCTTGAATATTCTTATTTTAAGCACGGAATTCGGGTGAAGCATAAAATACTTATAACAATAACTTTCATATATGAAATAAGGCTCAATCGTTCTTAAAAGTAACAATTTCTGTATTTGTATTCAGGAATTTCTGCTTGTAAAAAGTTCCTCAATAAAGAATTTGAGCTTGGCTAGATTTGACTATTAGGTTCTTGGATTTTTTCTCTGAGTGTACAAGATGCAGATACAATGAGGCGTATAAAATTATGCAGTCGCAGATACTTTGCAGCTGCCACATCAAGTGTTTGGCTTATAAGGTAGTCATGCAATTTTTATGCCGCATTTGTTGTTTATGCTCTTTTTTATTGTTGTTTTTCCGTTTGTCGTTGTTGTTGTTGTTGTTGTAGTGGCTCTTGTCTGCAGCCTAATTGAGTCAACGCCAATGCATTGCATCATCGTAGGCTTCAGAGTCAGAGAGACGACACAATGATGAGCTGGATCAGAGCTGGCAAGCGCTTGCCGCTGCCCCAGACAATTTGTGCAGCTCACTCGATATTAGCATATTCATAATATTCAACACTTGAGATTCGCATTCGCACAACTTGCCGAAATTAACGCATACGCTCACATTGTGCATAGCCGCATTTAAATCTTAATCAATTCGTTGCGGCCCGAGCTACTCAAGTGTGTACACAAATAAGTGTGAGTACACAATACGACTAAAAAATCACAATTGTAGGCGCTGTATTATGAGAATTCAAAGTTAAGACACATTTTGATTGGCTTGCATAAAGGAAAGGCTACCTACCAGTGCTGTGTAACAAAAGCTTTTTCTAAATTACAAAATAAAGACACTTTTCTATATTCCTGCAAAAAGAAAGGAATACTCTCTAGTGTTGTGTAACAAAAGAGAGACTTTTCTAAAATAAAAAGAAAAGACCCATTTCTATTAGCTTGCATAAAGTAATTGCTACTCAACAGTGTTGTGCAACAAAATAGAGGTTTTTCTAAAATAAAAACAGATACATATATTATGAAATGTAATTTCAAGAAAATAACTTTAAATGTTAACAGTTTTTTACCTTACCTTTTTACGACTTCAACGCAAAAGCTACTGAAAAGCTTTCAAAGCACTTTAAAGCAATCAATGTGTTTAGTTATGTTTTTAATTTTGCCAAAGGCTGGACTTAATGCCTATTGCTTGGCAGTTTGTAAGCAAGTTAATCATTTTTATTTGGCTCGATTAATCTCTCGGTTTTGAACAATCGCATTTTGACCATAAGCTTTATGGTAATTGGTTTATTGGCTTATTGTTCATGTATATGAGATGACATGAGTAGAGCAGCTTTGACTACCGCATCTGCATTTTATGGCTAATTCAATAGAATTACAATGCAAATTTGGTGCGAATAATGTTTCCCATGACATAAGCCCAAACAGAGAGACAGAGCGAGAGCGAGAGAGAGAGGGAGCTGTCTTGCAAATCATCTAAAAAAAAAGCCAACAACCTTTCCAACCATCAGTCAATCACACAGACGACGACGCCGACGCCGACGCCCCTATAGAAAGTGGCCTGTGGTCGTATTACTGCAATTGCAATAAACCTGGAAATTTGTAATACAACATTGCGGCTTGCCAGCAACAACAACCAAAACAACAACAACTAAAAGTAAGACTTGGCTTTAAGTCGCTACAATTACACAGAAAAGGCGAAATGACCAACTCCATTACGTGACAGCGTAGAGATTACATTTGATTGATCCTGCAATGGAGACAACATCGCATCAACTCTCAATGAAATCAAGTCAAATGTGACGGAAACGGTACACAAGATACAAAAGCAAAGCAAACAAATGTTATGTCTCTGTTTATAGGGAATAACTAACGAAAATGTGATAATAGCAACGTCTGTAATTTGGTCTGTTTACGATAAGCTCAAATTACGTGTGACGATGACACGCTACTCAATCGCAGCTTAAATTAGTTTTTGAGCTACATTTCAAGCCTTAAAATGCAGTAAATAATAAAATTTTTGGGCGGTCACAAAATAGATTTTTGCTTCGAACAGCTTCAACTTGCAATAACTTCAAATCGTAGCTAACTAAGCCAACTAACTAAGCTGCTCTAGACGACTAGGAGATATCCTGTTATTAGTTCTTAGTTGCCGTTCGTGTTTTAAAAGACCCGTGTAGGAAATCGATATTAATCGATTTCACAAAATGTGAGATTGCTATCGAAAATTTTATAGAAATTTATGAGGTGCATCGAGTTCGATTTTTGTCGGGCTAGAATTTAAATTATTGTGTTTAACTGCGATTGTTTTAAAAAATAGAAAGTCAGAGCTATGTAAATCTGGACGCACTCCAGCTAATGTAAAATGTTTGTTAACCATTTTATAGCTCGCTAAGTCATTTTAAATGTATCAGCACCAGTGTAAATAGCGCCTAGTTAATCAACAGCTAAATACATAAACACCGAAAAACCAAATAGTATATACAAAAACAAAAACAAAAACGAAAAAAGTCAACGGCATGTACGCGACGAAAAACGTGCGTCCACGCAGCAGCCTCTCCACAGACGACAATCATCGTATCAAGGACACAAATCGTGCACACAAGAAATCGCCGAGCAACACGGTCCTCACTCTGGTCGCGTTCTGTGTGTTTCTTTTGGTGCTCTGCAGTTTTCTGCTCGGCGCTTTGGTTTATGTCGGCAAAAATATTGCTGACGAGCATCAGAAGCAGCAGGCGAGCGGGGGTACGCTGAGCGTAGTAAACGACACAATACGCACCATATATGTGGATCGTGATCAGTTATTGTCCACGAAACCAATTTTGAGCGTGCTCTCAGGTTTGTGTTAAATTAAAAATAAGAAACGCTCATAAATTAAAAATTGTTCAATGCAAATTCAAATGCTGAGCCAATGCGCGCCGAGCAACCGCTGCACTCATAGCAATAAGCTTTGTGTTGCCTGCAAGCGATTTGCTCAGCATACCAAGCTGATATTGTTATCGTTATCGATAACGCCACAGCTGTTCGGCGCACTGATTTTGTATAAGTTGAAGAAATAAATAATTTGAACTAATTCATGAATTACTGATAAAAAAAAAACAATAAATAAAAAAAACAGATCTTCGCGCACAGACCACCCAAGTGCCCACCACGAAAAAGTCAAACGCCATGGCCGCCATATCGCCTGAAATACGTGCTGCCAGCCGGGTCCTGCAGAAACTTGGCTTCCGTTTGCCCAAAGCGATAAAAGCACGAAAATATAATTTGCACTTGAGGCCAGATTTTAACTCCAAGAGCTATACGGGCAACATAAGCATCAATCTGCAGGTGCTGGACCCTATCGCATTTATACCCGTGCACGTCAAACAGCTGAATGTGAGCCACGAGCAACTGCAGCGTTTGGATGATTCGGGTGCTCCGCTGACGGAAATCAAGCCAACGCTCACCTTTGCCTATCCCGAATACGAGTACTTTGTCAGCGAATTCGCCCAGCCACTGGAAGTGGGCAACTATACGTTGCATCTGAAATTTAATGGCTCGTTAGTCGATCGCATAACGGGGCTGTACCAAAGTTCATACTACAATAAGCTGAAAAACCGCTCCAGGTAGACGCAGCTGTGACCTTCTTAAGCTAACAAATGCATGCACCTTAATTAACCCAACACATTTATAAATTAACTAACAAGTTGTTTTGCTTATACTAATTGTTCAATTTTTTCACAGATGGATTGCTAGTACGAAACTCGAGCCCACCTACGCCCGCCAAGCGTTCCCCTGCTTCGATGAGCCGCATCTGAAGGCGCAGTTTGCCATAACAATTGCCCGGCCCAGCGGCGATGATTACCATGTGCTGTCCAATATGCCAGTTGCCGTAAGAAGAACATTAAAGCCCACATATCATAGACTTTCTCTAGAATTGCTTCTTTTACAGAGCGAGTACATTGACGGCGATGTGACGGAGGTTACTTTCGAGGAGACGTTGCCCATGAGCACCTACCTGGCCGCCTTTGTCATCTCGGACTTTGCGCACACCACAACCACCGTGGGCGAAACCAATATCGAGCTGCGTGTGTTTGCACCACCTGCCCAGGTTAATAAGACAGAATACGCGCTGGAGATCGGTGCCGGCATTACGGCGCATTATATAGATTACTTTAACATCTCGTATCCGCTGCCCAAACTGGATTTGGTTGCCATACCCGACTTTGTATCCGGTGCCATGGAGAACTGGGGTCTAGTGACCTTCCGTGAAACGGCGCTGCTCTATGATGAGAGCACCAGCTCCAGCGTTAATAAGCAACGCGTCGCTGTTGTGGTCGCCCATGAGCTGGCGCATCAATGGTTTGGCAATTTGGTTACCATGAACTGGTGGAACGATCTGTGGCTAAACGAAGGCTTCGCCTCATTCATTGAGTATAAGGGAGTGCACCATATGCATGCCGATTGGGATATGGTAAGATCTGTTTATTCATTGGCTTGTCGGAGATCTTGCTTATATACTCTCATTCATTACGTAGGTGAATCAATTTGTGACTGAGGAGCTGCATCCTGTGCTGAAGATTGATGCCACGCTCGCTTCGCATGCCATTGTCAAGTCCATTGAGAGCCCTGCTGAAATTACCGAGTACTTTGATACCATTACCTATTCCAAAGGCGCCGCTTTGGTGCGCATGCTCGAGAATCTTGTTGGCGAAGCAAGACTGCAGAATGCCACTACGCGCTATTTGCGTCGTCACACTTACACCACGGCCACCACCGATGACTATTTGACGGCCATTGAAGAGGAGGAGGGTCTCGACTATGAAGTCAAGTAAGTGCATCAATTGCTGCTGGCACTTAACCAAACTAATTGATCTGAGCTTACAGGCAAATCATGCAAACATGGACGGAACAGATGGGTCTGCCCGTGGTTGAAGTTGTGAAGAATGGCAATGTTTACAAGCTAACCCAAAAGCGTTTCCTAGCCAATCAGGATGACTATAGTGCTGAAGTCGAGCCATCTTCCTTCAAGTAGGTGCACTGCCTTACACTCTAATAGCAACCTACTCAACTGTTTCTGCTCCCTTCGCAGTTATCGCTGGTCTATACCCATTACCTACATAACCAGCGAAGACAGCACGCCAAAGACCACAATCTTTAACTATAACGACAATGAGCTTAGCATCACGCTGCCCAGCACTGTCAGTTGGGTAAAGTTGAACAAAGATCAGGTGGGCTACTATCGTGTCAACTATGCCGAGGAGCAATGGACCGAATTGGTGTCAGCTCTGAAGGCATCACGTGAAACCTTTAGCACTGCGGATCGTGCACATTTGTTAAACGATGCCAATGCTTTGGCGGACGCGGCACAGCTGAATTATACCATTGCGCTGGAGCTGAGCACATATTTGGAAAACGAACAGGACTATGTGCCCTGGAGCGTGGGCACCGCATCGCTGACAGCGCTCAAGAATCGTGTGTACTATACGAATGCCTATAAGGACTTTACGAAATATGCGCGCAAGCTGCTGACGCCCATTGTGGAGAAGCTTACCTTTACCGTGGGCACGGATCATCTGGAAAAGTATATGCGACTACATATAGCTTAAGTTTGTTATTTATTATACTTTTCTTTGTATTTATTAGTAAACTGCGTATCAAGGTGCTGAGCGCTGCCTGCGGTGTTGGAGACGAGAGTGCACTTGAGCAGGCTGCCACCTTGTTTAACCAGTGGTTGGCCAGCCCGGACACACGTCCCAATCCCGATGTTCGCGACGTTGTCTACTACTTCGGGCTACAACAGGTGAACACTGAGGCCGCCTGGGATCAGGTCTGGCAGCTGTATCTGACTGAGCCCGATGCGCAGGAGAAGCTTAAGCTGATGAACGCGCTGGCGGCTATTAAGGTGCCCTGGCTGCTGCAGCGCTATATCAACTTGGCTTGGGACGAGAACAATGTGCGCCGGCAGGACTACTTCACGCTGCTGGGCTACATTTCCGCCAATCCAGTGGGTCAGAGCCTCGTCTGGGACTATGTGCGTGAAAACTGGGACAAGCTGGTGGAACGCTTTGGTATCAATGAGCGCACCTTGGGTCGCCTTATTCCCACCATTACCGCTCGCTTTGCCACGCAAACCAAGTTGGAGGAGATGCAGCAGTTCTTTGCTAAAAATCCTGAGGCCGGCGCTGGCACTGCTGCGCGTCAACAGGCACTGGAAACGGTCAAGGCCAACATCAAATGGCTGGAGCTTAACCAAGAGCAAGTGGGCAAATGGTTGGCCAACTTTGCGGAGCAGTCGGCTGTGACAAATCGCATCAACTAAACTGTTGCTCAAAGGCAACCTGTAAAGTATCCTTAATGTAAAAATTACCAATTGATTTTTGAATAGTCATAGCCTGCAATTTGAGTGCATTGCAAATGTGAATGAAGGAATTGTGAATACTATTTTTGGAATAAAATACAAATTGAAAAAAGAATTGTTATCATTCTATTATAACCTTAACTATAGGATATTGTTAATGAAATCGGCTTTATCGGAAATTTGAAATTCTTAACCTTAACAAGAAGCTTAATCTAAGGCGAATCTGAACCATATCAAAAGGAAAAAAAACTGGTTTAGTTAAATAATGTTCTACTTTTATTATTTACTTTGCTATATTTCAATGACGCTACATTATTGAAATTAATTGTAGCTTTACATTAAATATTTATTTAATAAGGGACGAACTAGTTCATGGATGTGAGAAACCTGAAGCGAACCATTAAAATTGTTTTTATCTATACTTCTTAGCATAATATATTGATATTGGAATCAGCATAAAGTTTTGTCTCCTCAAATGGTTTTATTATCTCGTATATAAATTACAAATTTTTGGGCTAACTTTGCCCTGTCTGTTATTTTCAATAAAATTGCGGAAACGGAAACGCCACGCTGAATGGAGAATGGTGCGCGTGCCTGTTTAATTTGAGCGCTGTGCGTTTTTATGAGCCATGCCAGATTTGATGTTGGCCAAGCTGTTTATGGCAACAGGACCTAAGTTTTTGTTTACTTGCGAACACACAGTTTTTGGCCAAGCCTCTGGCGTCAGCAGCGAAATTGTTTACGACTTAAATTGAATGAAGTCCATTGAATTTGCCAACTGATTGCAAAACAATTTTTTGTTTTCATTTATTCTGCACATAGGCCTCATCTGCACTGGAAGGCCAATCACTCAAGTGGCGCCCACAAATGATGGCGACATTTCATTGGCAACGTAGTCGGGCAGTTGCATAAATTTCAGCTATGGCCCATTAAATTATCACCACCAGCAAAATATACAAAATGGCCATATTTTGCAGCAGCACGAATAACTCACAGATTGGCCTCAATAATCTGTCGCCCAAATGTTGGCCATTTATTTGATTTCGATTTTATATGATTTTGATGTTTTGGTGGCTCGTAAATTCCTGATTGCCTCACATTTAGCTGCACTGTGTTTTTTGTCCACACATTAAAGTGCCCGATTTCTGTTGGACATTTAAGCGTAAGCCCCCCGGCCAAGGTCATGCGTATCGACCCGGCCAGACGGTACTCCAACTATTAATGGAATCGCACGGCGCCCGATTGAGACATGATAATGTGTGTATCAAGGCAGTTGGACACAACTTCTTCAATTGTAAATGTGCTCGCAACAGGCTGCAGGCGTTTAAATTGGTCGAGCAGCTACGCTCCGATTCCCACTTGCATTGCTGGGCTCATTTGGCCCTTAGTCTATGCCCCAGTGTGCCATAAAGTGCCCAACTTCTGCCACATTTTAGGCAACATACATTCTTGGCCCTGATTGGCCCACGGCCAGGCAAAACTAATTTCGCTTTGTCTACAGCATCATTTGGCCCAACTAGCCCAATTTATAAGCTCTACTCAGGCATTAGCATTTTGTACTATGAATGATTGAGCTTGTCGCAACACTTTATTTTATTTATTAATTTAAAATATATATTTAAATCTGACTTTCAAAAGTATTGTTGTGCTTTAAATTGAATTAAAGCCTTTTCTCAAATGGACTTTAATGGATTTTACGCCGCGAATTAATTTAACAATTAATATTTTATTATATATCAAAGCCATATTTTATTTTGTTGTGTGTTTCTATACAAAGAGTCTGACTGCATAAATCCAAAGATGTGTCTTGATTAAAGCCATAAACTTTTTTCTAGTTTTAGCCAACTTTTGCGGCATTTGCCGTATGCATATGCATATGCGTGCAGCTCATTATAAATAAATATGCATACTTGGTCTATTGTCTGGCTATCAATAAAAATTATATTATTGCCTGTAGTATAAACAAATGCCAAAGAGATTGTCATGAAACTCGTTTGTTAGCCATTTAACTGGCTTTTGGGCACTTTGGCATCGCTCATACGCCCCGTTGTCACGTTCGGGCATTGACTTGCGCCTTGCCGGCTATCTTCCATCTAAAATGGCGCGCATATTGAGTTCCTAATTGTGTATGTAAGTGAGTGTTCGTGTGTTTGTGTGTGTGAGTGTGACTGGCAGTCAATAACAGTGACCCTTGATTTTATATTGGCCTGCATTGGCATTTTTATGACGTCAAACCTGTTGATGCGTAATGTAATTAAATTTAATGCCATGGATCGTGCGTAAGGCAATTCGCAAACACTTGAAATTACTTCATTAGTTGCTAATTGAATTGCCATTGCCCGTTGAGTGTGGAAAAAAGAAAGCACAACGCTCGACGGACTAAGTGATTAATATTTGTTTTTTTATTGCTTTAACCGGCTCGAAGAGGCGCGTCTGTTGCCAGGCGGCAACATTTAGTTGGCTGCTCTTGCGGGCACAAATTCACCATAGATAAGACAGCCGGCGGAAGCGCCGGCTTCAGTTGTCCTTATTTATGTTGTGTTAATAATAGCAACATCCTGCCAAAGCCTGCGGGGCGCCCTGCCCATTAATCTTAATTCGGCGCAAATATTCAATCAAGCGGCCTGCGTTGCCTGCTTTTGTAATTAAAGGCACATTAAGCGCCTCGTAAAAATTAAATTGTCAGTTGCGGATAGGCCCAGAGACAGCTGCCAACGGCGCCTGGTGCCTGCCTTGTGGCACTAATTAGCGGCACTTGAGCCCGGCCATGCGACACTTTAAGCACTTTTTATGGTTAACTATCGATTCGGCCAAGGCGTGGTCTTAGCTTAAATTCGCCAAATGCAAAAACAAATACTATCAAAAAGTTCATTTTGTAAATATATATTTCTTTGCCCATGCAAGCGAAAGTTTATCATGCTTAGAACATCTTCTGGATGGGCCTCTTTCCGGCGCTGAAAAATTCTTAGACGAGTTTTTATAAACAAACTAAATTAATGAATGAGGGTTTCTGTTTATACGGCACTCATTTACATTTTATATTTTTTTATTTATGTTTCTTGTGTGTTAGTCATTTTTAAGTTTTTTTTTTTGATTTAAATTATTCTACGCATTTGTTTTATTTAAAAAAAGGCTTACACATTCCAGAATGAATTGAAAAGTGTTTATTAAGAGAAACGATCAAAATGTAGCAGTCGAAGGCGCTCAACTACGGGATACTCTGTAAACAAGGTTTTAGTCATTAATGTATGTATTTTCTAAGTGTAATTTCTAAGTGTATTTTCTAAGTAGCTGTGTACAAATTGGTTTGTTGGTTCGACTATTGAAATTATGGAACATATAACAATTGCTTTTTTATAAATTACATGGGATTGACTAAGCAATCTCTTCAATTTAAAATTCTATTTCGATTTATATTTATATTTTATATTTCATATTTTATATTTTATATAAACTTTTATATTTTATATTTTTTTATGTAAATTCTACTTTATTTTTGATATTTTATATTTTATATAGCATATTTTGTATGTTATGCTTAATATATTTGTTGTTATATTCTTTATTTTATTTTTTATATTTATATTTTTTTATTTTATATTTTTTATACGTTTTTTTAATTAAAACAATATTTTCAATTAAAATTATATATGTATTTATATTATTATATTTATATATAATATATGACACATTAATTTTATATATAAGCTTTTTTGAAGCTAAACAATATTTTCTATTAAAAATTATATTTTCATTTTTTTTGTATATATTTATATACATATATCTGTATATTGTATATTCGAAGTATTAAGTTTATTCATATTTAATTGCATCCCCTAACGGACTGTGAATACTTTCTATACGCCCAAAAGATATTTCACGGTATTTATATTTTAAATTTTCAATGGACAATTCACTCGCTTTTCCACCGGCAACAAAATATTTGAAAACCATAAATCAATTAGCTAAGCATTAAAATGCCTAATATTCCAAATATTTCAGCGTATCTGTTTCATTTCGACGCTCAATAGTTTTCAATGTATTTATCTATTTTTGAGTAGCTCGTTTTATTTGAATTTTACAACTTTTAGTTTTATAGACATTGGCAGCTCTGGGATTTTATGCATGGCTCGTTTGCATATTTTCTGAGCTATATTTACGAGACGGACAGACAACTGCTGATGCGTAGCTTTATATGCCACAGTACCCACTGCGATATACGCAGTCAAATACCCACACACACATATGTGCAGTCTGTTGATATGTGTGTCTGGATGACTGTGAACCGAATGTAGCTGCTATCTGCCAGACTGCTGTCTGTTGTTGTGTTTATATTGTGTGTAGTTGTGGGTGTGTTCGCGTGTGTGGGCACAAAAATGCATAAAATGGCATAAAACTGTGGCTCATGTCGTTGGCCGTAAAATTCTTTGCCAAAGAAGTGCAATAAAAAGGCTTTAATGATGCGACTCTCTGTAATTAAATGCCACAGAGTACACCCACTAACCCACACATGCACACACACACACACACACATGTGCAGTCATCTGTGTGGCCACACACGGCGTATACGTGATGTGACTGAACCCTAAGCCAAAGGCGCAATGAATAGCTCCTCAAATTCATGTTTATCATTTTAATTGAATGCTAAATTTCGCTTTTCTATCCAACTTTATCTTAAATTTAAAATCCTTGGTCTCTGAATTGTGTTCATTGTATTTATTTATTTATTTTTTATTACTTTATTGCTTGGAGGTTTTTCGCAGGAAGGGGTTATTGCAGAGCCATTGCCTGTGTGGCCAGCATATGACATTTGATTTATGGCCGCTTGTTTTTCGTTTAACAAACAAGGCCATAAATACACACACACACAAAAAAGTAGAAAAATAGCCAAAGAAATGGCGAATGCGCCAAATGGTGCAAAGCTCTGTGCTGTTGCAAAGTTGCATTCAGGGGAATACCATTATGCAATGCTCGGTTAAAGTCAACTGCTAATTCGAATGCCGAATTCGGCTCATTGCGCAAAACGTTTGACTGTTTGCGTACACACTGCGTATACTTAATTTTGCGTATGCGTAATGGAAATCGTTGCCGTCAACAGGGTGATTCAGTTCGGGG